GTTTTGATGTTAAAAAAAATAGAAGAAATTTTTTTGACATCTCCACCTTCTATAAAATCATAAATAGTATGATAGATGCACCTGACCTCCTAGCGGCTATTGGCATTCATGTTTCCCCAATAAATGTTAGAATAGGATTCTGTTTAATGTTGATTTTCATAGAACTAATTATAGTATTAATTCTCCATTGTGTAGAATGTCAAAGCTGTCAAATGATATTTTAACTAAATGTGACATAGATATGTTTGACCGATCTTATGGAAGATTTTCGACTAAACTTAAGAATGTCTTATATAATTGATAATTAGTCTTGTTTTTATCCCGCCATCTTGTGTCTTGTGTCTTGTTTTTTGGATTGTTTCAGACACTGATTCCTTGATACATTATATTTTGTCCTTTTTGACTTTTTGTAGAAATAATTAATTAACTATTGTAAATGCTATATGCGTGAATAAAATTTTGATTTGATTTGATTTGATTAAACAGACTTTAAAAAACGGCGGCCTCGAACTGCGGACCGATTACCTGATTTTAATAATCCCGTACTCGAATTGCGGACCAAACTAAGAAGACCAATCTTTTGAAAACCATGAATTGCGGACCAGGCTTAAGTTTATACAACTAGGGTAAGGGTAAGGCGTAAAAATTAGGAAATAATAAACCATTATCATTTTACTATTTTTTGCATATCATGTTAATTAAACAACTAAAATACTAAAGTGTAGGTATACAATGTAATATGGGCTATAGGAAATATGCAAAAATATGTTAATAATTTACTTAATCTTTTATTTATTTATTATTAACTTTATACATGTAAGAGAAACGTTTCACGTAGTTATATCTAGTACTTTGTTCTTTACGTTCATAGTGACAAATTTTAGTAGTTTAAAAATCTGTATTACATAATGCAGTCATGTTACTTTCTGTAGAAAACACAACAATTTTCTTCTCCAAATCGTTTACAAATAAAAAATTCTCACTTTCCGTACTCCGTACGTCGCGTCGGTTTCTTCCAGAATGGCTATCGTTTCACTAAGGCTTTTCGGTAATCGTGGTTGGGTTTTGCGCTTATGGTACCTAGTAGATATTATTTCGTATGTAATTGACATCTATTGCTGTGATGGTTGACATATTTCCTGCATTTTGTCTGAATGCCGCATGTAAGATTTTTGAGGCTTTGCCGATAAATCTTCTGCTGCCTTACGTTAAACACTATTCGAAATCACTTGTCGATTATGTTTTTTAATATCCACCGTATGGTTGTGATTCAGTATATATATACTCCTTGAAAGTACTTAAAATTTTGCTATTTAGGTTTTTCCCAATTATTGGGCAGGTAGATTTCAGGGAGCCCTTTCGACTTTGGTCCGCAATTCATGGGTCATTAAACACACAGGACAAATTTTGAAAATCAATTATGGTTTTTGGTCCGCAGTTCATGTACGCCCTTAAAAAAATGTCCATCGTTTTGTACCATTAAGGTAAGTAGGTACCATCGTCACCAAAAGTAACTGGGGCAGCATCACATTAGCTCTTGTCCTATTATATGAATTTTATTGTCAAATATTTGTCCAAACTATGCATTAAATGCATTGAAATGAATGACAGTAGAATTAGTCCAGGAAATTATCATGCATTATTTGTGTCCCAGATACTTTTGGTGACGATGGTACATTTTCAATAAAATTATTGGGATATTATTTAAGATATTTTCGAGCTTTGAATGCAGCAAAATCTTCAAGTAGATGATTCATTTCTAACATGCTTACTGCTTACTTTTTCTTGGCCGAGATGATCTTGAATACGTTTTTATTAATTTTAATTTAGAGAAACTTCTCTTAACACTTGCAGGAGTTATGGACAATGGTAATAAAATGCTGAGGATCTGAGGGCCACAACAATATTCGGTGCAATATCCAGTAACGTCTATCACAGATAGTTCATCAGCTAATTATGCCACATTGACATCGAAAGAATTGTCATGCATGAAAACATACATATTATAAATATTTGCAATATTCCGATAACTCTTCTAGATGAAGTTTTTTGTAGTAAAAGGATATCATATAAGAATAAGAAGTTGAAATGCCCACTGTGCTGGTTCAATTGTCCAAAATGACACCTATCCTATAATACAGAGTGTTTGGTACATCGATAGGAAGTTTTTAATGATTACTCATTGAAAACTTCCTATCACTAGTTGGGGTCATTTGGGAGCTGTTTGATCATATTTACTCTTATGCAAAATTTTGTCGTTTTTGAGATATCAGCATTTTTAGATATTTTTGGGAAATATTTGAATTGTTCCTAAAACATATTGTTTTTTTTTTGGAATAACCATTTTAACCTTTCTCAATTTTTTTCCCGATATTCCTGATATGCACTCTTTCGAAAAACTCGGAAAGAAAATCCGAATGATTGATACAAAAAATATGTAGCCCAAGTTATGTGTTAAAATATACAGTGCCTCTATACAAGACAGTGGCGACAATAGAGGGACTCATTTTTGATTGGCTGCAGAATATCGGCTATGTTTTGTCGAAAGTTATTTGTGTTTACCTTTTGATTCTATGGAGATTTATGCAATTTTGTGTTAATATAATTTTGTTTTTGTTATTTGTGCCTGTTATTGACTATTTTGCGATAAAAAGTTGGAACAGAAAGAAAAGAAAAAACAAATACACTAGGCCTGTTCGCACAGCAATCACAAACCAGTCAGAGCGAATTTCATTAGTTGAAAACAATCAGAAACAGTCAGAAAACTAGTTTCAACCAATGAGATTCACTCTGACTGATTTGTGATTTCTCTGCGAACAGACCTACTATTGACTGAGTTTGACAAAACATGGCGGGTGGGCGGAGCTTAGGCGCTATTGTCGCCACTGTCTTGTATAGAGGCACTGTATTAAAATACATGGATTCAAAATATCTAAAATGGCGATATCTCAAAAAACGACGAAACTTTGCATGAGGGTAAATATGGTCAAACACCTTCCAAATGACCCCAACTATCACTCATTGAAATGTTCTTGAAATCTTCCTATCGATGTACCAAACACCCTGTATAATTGGTTCGCTGTTCGATTTATATTTCTGAATTTTTTTTAGGTCGTTGGACTCGTTGGTTTCATTTTCTATTAATTTTTGTTGTTGTATGGTATGAATTTGCAGCCCCTGGATCGTGGCGGCCACCCATCTCGCCCCCACCCCCTTAAGCCGGCCCTGTATAGTTTTGAAGAAAAAAAAAATCAATTCCGTTTTTCCATAAAAAACAATCAGCTAGAGAGAGATAAGTCATTAAATAAATTATGTGTTGCCTATTTATCACCCCCGATTCATATATAGTTCAAATTGAAAAAAAAAAAAATTGAACTGAAGAATGAAATTAAGAATTAAGAAATTTGTAACCGATTCTTAGTTCAACTATCTCTTTCTAACTCATTGTTTCTTACGGAAAAAACGGAATTTATTTATTTTTTTTCCAAAACTATTGAAGGCGAAGATATAAAACCTTATATCATCGAAATCAGCTCACAAAGAGCTATTCAATGAAAAAATAATATATGTGGTGTACCATTTGAAAAAACACAACTTTGGTCAATACCTATTCCAAAATCGGAGGCATCTGGAGAAAAATTGGTCATGCCACTGGATTCTCCTTGAAAAACTGCCTATAGAAAGTATTTTTCATTTTTGGATATCTTGAATAATAAGGAAATTAGAGTCTTTTAAAATTGGACAAAATTTGAAAAGTGCCCTGTATTTCCTAAACGCATCAAGTTAGCTGTGATTTGTCTTCGCCATTGTTATTTTCTCAAAAAAAGAGCTCGAGAATGTGCTTCCAGATTTTTGATATCTCTGCTGGTTTTTGATATAGCCTATTAAAACATCAAAAATGGGCCACCCTGTACAGTTAATTTAGAAAGCTTGTGGCGTACCATCCCAGGGGTTCAGCATCTGTTCAAGATTCAAATCTATTATAAGGTATATAATAGGTATTTCCATTACTAAATATTGTTCAACAGAGGTTCTATATACCATCAAATTATAAGGTTTTGATGAAAGATAATAGTAACTGTAGCAACCTCTCTTTCGAATTACTCCCAATAATATGACATGTAAAATAATTATAGAGCTTGTTTGTGCCGTAATGATACACATTTCAAATTATAAAAATTAAAAACCAATACAAAATGTTATAATGTTTATTTTCACACGATACTGTAATAATCTTACCTCCAAAAAAGATATCATGCAATGAGCCTCTCCTGTTGAAGTCTGGATCATCTGCATCGAATTGAATCTCATCTTCAAATTCAGTGAAGCCCTCGAGGCAGTCCAAATTGGTGTTACTTTCTACTCGAAGCATCTAAGTATAAGAAATTGGTAGAATCCTATAAACTTGTAAAGCATACAATATTTTGATAAAATAGGGTTAGAATTATGGGGCCTTAGAGCTTCGATACTCAACAAACGAATTCCATTAAGATAATGCAAATACACATTAAAATATCGCAATGTTAATTGATAACAACTTATTATTGAACAAATTTGAATGCCTTTTAACCTACATTGGAATTTAGCACAAATTAAACAAGGCTTTTAATAGCTAACTATTGTAATCCCATAAATAATTATTCTGCTTTTAAACTTACCTCAAAACACTCAAAATCAACCAGGAATTTACAAGAAAATTCAAATTTTTTGAACTGCTTCCAGCTGATTAATTTTGCAATAATTGCAATAAAAAACGAATAAAAAGGTCACGAGCTAGAACAGCTGTTCTCTTTGTTGCACACATTGAAAGAGACAAAGACAGAAGTAATGCAAGAAAAAAGTTTCATTAAACGAATTATTAAATGGAATTTGAGGAAGAAAGATGATTATTTGTTCAAATTCACTGGCGCATTCACCATTTATAAACTAGATGTCTTTGTCTTTCACCTGCTTAAAAAAAAAGGATAGATATACCACTCCTTTGTCAATTTATAAGGCAATTGAAATTTGAATCAATTTATTATTTATTGTTTTTTATTATTACAAAACACATTGTATTGTTGTTAGTTTTTTTAAACAATTAGAAAATTTCGTCCAATTAGCAACAAAATTAAAAAGGGTTTGCTTAAAATAAAAATAAAAAACACGAAGTAGTTTTGTATTGCATGGTAAGTTCATGGGTCGAAAACTGAGATGAAAGACCCAATAATAACCCAAATAAAATTGGTCTCATTTTTTCCCTAGAGCTTTTTGAGTTGCCGCTGTTTTTGCTTTAGCTGCATCTTCCCTTTCTGAAACAGTATTTTATAGTGTATTTATTTATTTGTTTGAAATTTTAACCTTTTATTTCAGCTTCTCGTCTCTTTTTTGCATCTTCGCGTTGCTGCCTTATTATTGCTAGTCTGGCCAAGTCCGCTCTAGCTTGTTCAGTTTTACCTTCGGCGTGCAGTTTTTGGTAGTGAGCTTGTGCCCTTTGCCTAAAATAGTTTGTATTAGTTTTTGTGTTTTTAAAATAATTGAAGAAACTACTTTTCGATTTCCTCTCTTTCCCTTCTGGATAGTTGCGGCTTGCTATCGCCTGCATCACTCGTATCCAGTTTTGTAACTTTTTTGATTTTTTTTTGGACCCTGTTTGGATTCTCTATTTCAATTAGGTTAGATACTCCTTTAGCTTTCTATATGGAAAACATAGGGCAAATTAATTTTTGAGTGGTTTATTTTTTTAGTTCTTACTCCTTCTTCGCCTTCACTACTGCTCTCTTCTTCACTTCCAGATCCAGATTCTTCGCTGATCTTTTTCTCTTCTTCACTTTCCTCGCTAGTGGATTCACCTCCGTGTTGTTGTCTCCACTTCTTTTTTTGTTCTTCCCTTCTACGTTCTTCCTCCAACTCTTCGGGATTCGTGAATCTACGATTGCGGCCCTTGTGATTCGTAAATTTACCTTTTAGGAAAAATATAAAAGTTGCATCATTTTGCCTTATGTTGGTACAGTATAAACCGAAAAATAATCAAGTTTTTGAGGTGTGTTTAAAGGCACATAACAAAAGATCTAACCTACATTGGTCGAATTAAATAGGGAATCTTACCTCGTGGCATCTCGAAAACTGTTTAGGACTAAAATTGAAATAAAAATAACTAAAATTTATTTAGATAATATCCTCTAAAGTGTGCAAAATTTGATGAATAAAAATTTATACTTTGCTTTTTTGACAAATTTATCACCACACGGGCAATGACACAATCCAAGATTTACGTTTTTCAAACTGAAATAAATTGACATTGATGACATTTTAGCATACGTTTTGGTGGGCAATAGCTACCAAATACATTTGGCAACGTTGCTATAGGCCAGTGCAGTGATCCAGGGTTCTTGGTGAAATTACTGAAATTTCACCAAATCAGGATTTTATTGGTGATTGGTAAAAAATCTTTTTAAAAATGGCAATTTCTGCGACATCCCTCGTAATGTATTGAAATTTTACTTCATTACATACAAATTTCATTTGTTTGACAGAAAACCAAATACCCATAAGTGGTGTGTGAGGTCCTTTGATTTTTATTTAAATTTGTATTTTTGTTCTTCGTTCTTTTGATATATTTATATATGTTTTCCTTTTTATATTTCAATTTCTGTTTATTCCAGGCTCTTGTTGCTATTGGCCGATTATTTTTCAAGTTGGCAACAGTTATTTTGTTTGGCCAGTGACGTTGCTTATGTCAAGCCAATCGAAAACTGGAAATTTTTATTTTTCATATTTTCGAAATTTTGACTTTCCCAGTTGATTCAGCGGGTTTAAATTATTCGAAAAAAATTCTAACATCGCTTTCAAAATGGCGATTTCAAAAAGCTAAAAAATCTCAATTTTTATTCTGGAAATTTTTTCAATTCTTGACAAGGTTAGGAATAATGGCAAATATTGTCAACTAGCTGCTTAGGAAAGGAGGACCCGGTATTCAACCTTATTAGTTTAATTGCCGATTCGGTCGGATGGTTATTGCAATTCAGCAATAAACGAATATAAATTACGCTGCAAGCCGCAGCAAAGGCAGACTTAAACCAGTGCAGCTATCTCTCTTTGGGAAAGCCCCTCTGGAATTAAGTCTCCCTAGTGCACGTACCTCTCGTTGGGAAAGCCCCTCTGGGTATCTGCAGCCTTATCGTTGTCCAGTGCAATAATCTCTCGTTGGAAAAACCCCTCTGGGTGACGATAACTAATCGACAGTCCCCCAAGCAGCGTTGACGTATGGCTCCCGATAAGGGCCCCAGTGTTCGAAGAGGGTCATGCATCTTATAGAACAAGTCTACATATAAAGGCATATTTGAGAAAATATATACCTATCTACACTTTTATATAACTTGAGCGAGTTTCTCTCTATCAACCCCCAAAGCTGCAAACCCCCTCCATGTCACCCCGTAAAGTGGGTAGTTGTGACATATTTGGTGAAGGCGCCGTCTCGAAACCGACGCCCAAGAACCGACGCCGTAAGGCGCCTTTGAAGAAAGCCAACGCCCAAACTCGTCACGATGCGGAACGTCGACAAGCGGTACCGTGACGAAAGTATGAAAGCACTCAATCGAAATTCACGACACCGTGGCGAAGGTGAAGTGTAACATAAAGCTGGTCCTGTGTGTTTTGAATGTGGGATCATCAGTGGTTACGTCACTGACACAAGACAGCTGATGCCGAGCAGGACGCACTCCAACACACACAGGCTGGAGGGTGCTGGATTGATAATAAATAAACCAGAATAAAATAATAAAGTTCATTTAAAAGTAATATAGTGTTTATTAAATAACCTGCGTTGTACCTGCTGTGTAAGCATGTAACATGGTGTCAGGTTAGAAAACTGAAATAAGAAGGAGCTAGAGGAAGTGCGAAATTCAGCGAAATTGTGAAGAAAGTCAGCAAAAAATGGCAGGTAACTTTAAGCCACCTAAGTCGTTGGTGTTTGATGCCAACATTGCAAAAAATTTTGAGAAATTTATAAGCAGTTTTAATATATATATGAAGGCGTCTGGGTTTGATGCAAAAGATGAGGAAACCAAAGTTGCAATTTTCCTTAATGTGGCGGGAGACGAGGCGCAGGATATTTTTGCAACCTTAAAGTTGACAGAGGCTCAAAGAAAAGTTTATAATACTGTGGTTGAGGCATTTGAAGTTCACTGCAAACCTCTACGAAATGAAACCTATGATAGGTTTAAATTTTTTAAAAGAATTCAGGAAGAAGATGAAGAATTCGACCATTTTTTAACAGACGTTAAAATACTGGCAAAAAATTGCAACTTTACCACACTGGAAGACAGTTTAGTAAGAGACAGAATTGTCAGTGGCGTTCGAGATATGGATCTGCAAGAAAGGCTGCTACGTACTGGAAATTTAACGCTCAAAAGGGCAGAATCTGAATGTCGAGCAGCAGAGCTCAGTAAATTACAAATGAAAGGCATTAGAGGAAACGAACAAGTGGATTCATTTAAATTCAGAAAGGAAAATGCTACTGGTAGTCAAAGCACTAGTTTTTATGACTGTTTTAAATGTGGTAGGAAGCATGGACCTAGACAATGTCCAGCTTTTGGAAAAAGTTGTGCAAGTTGTGGATCCCTGAATCACTTTGCTGTAGGATGCAAAAATAAGCAAGCAAGAAACAAAAATCGTCAAAATGCTCCTCATGATTATAAACAAAAAAAAGAAGACTGTTCAAGAAGTTGTCCATCATGATTCTGACTCAGACGACAGTGGAAACGCTCCCTACATCGATTCCATTGTTTTGGACAGTGTAGGTAAGTTTGGACACTCCTCCAGACATAATAAAGACTTTTGGTCTGTTGATATCTTGATTAATAATGAATTTATAATATTCAAGCTCGATACAGGGGCAAATTGCAATTGCCTTCCATTATTTTTTATTGAAAAGTTAAATGTAGCAGATCAAATTGTTAGAGATACTTTATCACTAAACACTTATGGCAATAACAAAGTTCAAGCCTTGGGTTTTATTGTTTTAGACTGCCTAGTAAAAAATGTTAATTATAAGATAAAGTTTATTGTTATAGATAGCAATAATACAATGCCAATTTTAGGGTTAAGAGCTTGTGTCAAAACAGGGTTAATTAAAAAGATGGACTCTTTGGTAGACACTGTAAGTTTAGATAAGGAAAAAGAATTGTTCATTAAAAAATATAATGATGTTTTTGAAGGAACGGGTAAGATTCCTTTCAAATATAGGATTGTTTTAGAAAAAAAGGCTCAACCTGTAAGTAGTGGATGCAGGAGGGTTCCTGAGGCAATAAAACCAAGACTTAAAGAAGCTTTAATTGACTTAGAAGCTAGAGGAATTATTTCAAAAGTTGAGGGACCCACTGAATGGGTTAATAATATTGTAATAGTAGAAAAACCATCAGGGGCCCTACGCATTTGTCTTGACCCAATGTTTTTAAATAAATATGTGTGTTTGGACCAATTTCCAATACCTACAGTGGATGAGTTGGCATTAAAACTAAAAGATAAAAAAATTTACACGGTACTTGATTTGAAAGAGGGGTTCTATCATGTTCCACTTGATTCTGATAGTAGGAAACTTTGTACTTTCATAACACCGTTTGGAAAATTTTGTTTCAATAGGTTGCCGTTTGGGCTTAATGTAAGCCCTGAAGTATTTCAGCGTATGAATGAGAAACTGTTTGGAGATTTGCCCATAGGAATCTATTTTGATGATTTCGTAATTGCAGGCAATTCTGTAGAGGAACATGATAGAATCCTAAAAGAGGTGATGAGAAGAGCAGAAAAGTTTGGAGTAAAGTTTAACAAGTCGAAAGTTCAATACAAAGTTCATGAAATCAGTTATGTTGGTCAAATATTCTCAGCTGACGGTGTTAAACCTGATTCTGAGTATGTTAAAGCAGTACTGTTGCTTGAAGAGCCCACAAATAGGAAAGAATTGTTGCGGGTTCTTGGAATGTTCAATTATTTATCAAAATATATGCCCAAACTTTCTGAAATTTTATCACCTTTGCGAAATTTAATAAAAAAAAATGTAGAGTGGCAATGGACAAAGGATCACCAAGAGTCATTTAAAAAAATAAAAAGTGTTGTGTCAGAAATCCCGGTACTTAAAATATTTGACCCAAAATTACCTATAGAAATGCAAACTGATGCTAGTCAAAGTGGAATAGGGGGTTGCCTAATGCAGCAAGGTCGGCCAGTTGCATTTTGCTCTCGTAGCATGACAGATACTGAGTCGAGGTGGGCTCAGATTGAGAAAGAGTATCTTGCAATTTCATTTGGTCTGCAGAAATTTCATCATTTTGTTTATGGTCGTAAGGTGGTTGTGAAAACAGATCATAAACCGCTGGTGTCTATTCATAAAAAAGATATTTGTAAAGTAACTTCTAGGCTGCAAAGATTAAAACTTAAAATGCTTAAATACAACATTGATGTTCAATACTTACCTGGTAAATATATGTACATTGCAGATCTTTTGTCCAGGTCATATCTCAAAGTGCCAGTTAAAGATGACAATGAGATGAAAGAAATAGTTCATGATTTTGAATTTGATATTCCTATTTCAGAAGAAAGGTTAAAAGAATTACGAACTGCTACTAAAAAAGATTTTGTCTTAAAGCAAGTTATAGAATTTTGTCAAACTTTTTGGCCTGATAAAAAACATATTGTGAATCCTGAAATTAAAGTTTTCTTTAAATGTAAAACTGATTTACACGTGTATAATGAGCTGTTATTTCATAATTTTAAGCTTGTAGTTCCAAAGTCATTAAGACTGATAATGTTAAATAAGTTGCATGTTGGACATTTTGGCATCGAAAAGTCCAAAGCTAGAGCTAGAAAGATATTCTATTGGCCCGGAATGTCTCAGGATGTACAGGATTTTGTGTCAAAGTGTAAAACATGTTTAAAGTTTAGTCGTAATGTTCCCAAAGAGCCAATGATTCAACATGAAAGAACAAATATTCCGTTTCAGAAGGTGGCCGCAGATATATTAACCTATGCTGGTATAGATTACTTAACTTTAATTGATTATTTCAGTAATTGGATAGAGTTGGTTCCCTTACAAAATAAAACTGCAGAAGAGGTTATCAGCAAACTTAAAGTGATTTTTTCGACTCATGGCATACCATCAAACTTTATATCTGATAATCAACCTTTTAACAGTAAGATTTTTAAGAATTTTGCTAAAAGTTGGGACATAAAGTTAAGTACATCTAGCCCAAGATATCCAAAATCGAATGGATTGAGTGAAAGATCTGTTGGCATTTGTAAAGGCATTTTGAGAAAATGCAATGATTCTGAAAATGATTTGTATAAAGCCCTTTTAGAATATAGAACTTCTCCATTGACTGGTCTAAATGTCTCTCCTTCTGAGCTTCTTAACAAAAGGATATTAAGAACAAGTTTGCCTATTTCTAACAAACTTTTAACTGAAACACCAGTAATTGATCTTGACAAGATTAGAGAAAAACGTCTTAAAGCAAAATCCTATTATGATAGACAAGCTCATGAAAGAGCATCGTTTTCTGAGGGAGAAGATATCATGATTAAAAAAGATAGGCATTGGGTTCCAGGGAAAGTCATTAAAAAGCATGAAGCTCCAAGGTCATATTGGGTTGGAGAGGATTTGGACCAGGTCATTAGAAGAAACTCATCATTTATAAAAGCAAATCCCAATCATGTAAAACTTAGTCATAAGTCAGTTAATAATTCTTTTAATGATGATGGAACTGGTTGTGAGTTCTCCGTTGGTAATCCGGTAATGTCAGATAGTGAAGTTCGTGAGTCAATTGGGCGTGAAAATTGTGAGCGATTTAGTGAGACGGCAGTAAATTCTCTTCCCGATAGTGACTATAAAACCAAATCAAGATTTAGTGAGACTGAAGTAAATTCTCTTCCCGATAGTGACTATAAAACCAGATCAGGACGTTGTATCATAAAACCTTCTAGGTTTAGAAATTAATTGTATTTGAAAAGCTTCTATGTTTAGAAATTAGTTGTTTTTTGTTATTATTTAAAAATTTATCAGTAGAATTCAATGTATTTATTTTTCTTGTGTTGAATTAAAACATTTCTATAAAAAGGGAGATGTAACATAAAGCTGGTCCTGTGTGTTTTGAATGTGGGATCATCAGTGGTTACGTCACTGACACAAGACAGCTGATGCCGAGCAGGACGCACTCCAACACACACAGGCTGGAGGGTGCTGGATTGATAATAAATAAACCAGAATAAAATAATAAAGTTCATTTAAAAGTAATATAGTGTTTATTAAATAACCTGCGTTGTACCTGCTGTGTAAGCATAAACTAGTAGATTTAAAAACTAGTACCAATAGAATAATAAATTTTGACCGGCTTACCGTCGCCATCGTGGCAAGAATAGATGCCAGATAAACCCAAATACAATTTGAGGCCAAATAACGCAGCAGCAACGACACCAGTAGAATTATTTAGAACACCCCCTAGGAACACAGAATCAGAAAACGCGCTCTTTCTGCTGAGAAGATCACTGCAAAGATCACCACCAGAGTCGCCCAGTATCAGTTTAGAGCAGATTACCAGTGAGATAGAAAACCAAGCAAATAATCAAGCAGGCTACGAAGAAGACAGTGTTTTTGGTAGCCCACCAGACCTTACCCTTCAAGAGGCACCAAAACCCAGGCAACCATCAGAAGAGGAAGTAGAACAATTGGATATAATGGCGAACACTACAATAACTGACGCTATGACAGCGGAGAAACAGGCAAAGTTGCCTCAGTTTATCAGCCCTCAAACCTTCCAGCCGTGTAAAACCAGCGCGATCGAGTTCCTAAGAACATATGATAGATCAGCGATAGCAAATAGATGGGACGAAAATCTGAAAATTATTTATTTTGAAACATATTTAGACGGAACCGCAAACCTGTGGTTTCAGGAATATAAGCGCGACCTCCAAAACAACAGCTGGAAAGACATTGTCAAAGATTTTTCAAAGGAATTTGAGGATACAGATTACCAACGGGCACTCAAAACGTCGAAAACAGAAAACAAGGTCAAGATGAGTTAGTCAAGGAATACTTGTACGATTTACAAGTATTATACCACAATTACACACATACATTTGATATATAAGAATTTGTAACGATTAAAGCGAAGGATTGACGGAGGCAAATCATTACAATTACTGCTGGTTAACAAACCCGCCGAACAAGCCACCAACATCACTTATACAATTAAAAGAAATAGCAGACACGATAGACAAAGCTCCGAAGAAAGGTGCAACGCAAGATACCCAAATTATCAGCTGTATGGAAAGAAATACAATAACAGACACAGAACTAAAGATATGTCATTATTGTGGAAAAAGAGGACATGTAATGGCCACCTGCAGGATTCGAATGCAAGGAGAACACACAAGCACAAGAGTACCAAAATCTAGCCAAACATGTTATAATTGTGGAAAAACAGGACATTTCGCAGTTGTATGTAGGAGCCAAAAGATGAGAAATCATAACTCCAACTCAAAAATTGCCACCGTTTGTTACAACTGTAGGAAAACAGGACATACTGCAACAGTATGCAGAAGCCAGCCTCAAAGGAACAAATCGTATACGCCACGAAACAACAAAAACAATCCTGGTTGCTTAGTTTGTGGAAAACAGGGTCACTATGCTAACACCTGTACAACCCGACAACAAAATCCAAACGAGAAGGGATGGCAAAATTGAAAGCCCCTGCCATCCTTACCCTGGGGAAGAACAATAACATAGGAATCTAGCACATCACAATTAGATTAAATAAAAAGTACATGTCAGCAATCGTGGATACAGGAGCACAAGATAGCGTTCTACAAAGAAGTCTAATCAAAGAGGAACTAACAAGAAATGATGACACGGTTCTAGTCACTGCAGGAGGACACCAGATAAAAGTTTTGGGAGACATATTGACGTTCCAATAGAAATACCAGGGAGCCAAAAATGGAAGGGAAGACTAAACGCCAAAGTGATTTCATCATTAACTCAACCAGTAATCCTAGGCATGGAGTTTTTGACAAAAAATAACGCGATCATAGATCTCCTACGGAAAAAACTGATTCTGAATGGTCAGCATGAAATACCCCTAAGACAAATAAATAACGAAAAAAACAACATGTCAGGTCTGGTCACAACATAACAGCCGACTAAAACGAGAGAGCTTAGACTAGATACTTCAAGACATGAACAAGTTTGTAAGAGAGCACATTTACATAAAAGATGACCAGGTTAACGGTCTCCTGAAACATAAACGTCCTAACGAAGACACCGTTTTAGTAGTAGGAGTGGAGTAACACAAAACTACAAATCAAAAAAATCAGTTTTCAGAAAAAATAAGTATATGATTCCAAAAACAGAGAGAAAGGGACCATTGGGGAGCTATCTATGTCAAAACAAGGAAAAAAATCAGTCATTTTTCTATTCACAAGAGAATCAATGAAGAAGAAGCCAAGTCCAAGAAACATGTATAAATATCTTACAGTGTAATATTCTGAGAAAATAGACCCATAAATCACAATGTCTTTATTGTAAAAATTAAATAATATCAAATAAATCAAAAACTGAATTTCCGGTATCACTAAATCAGTATCGATAAATTAAAATGAAACAAATTAACGCTAACGTAATTCGATACCAAGCCTTATGTCATCATCTAAATTTAATTCTTAAAAATAATAAAAATGAGGCCAGGGTAATTAAATCTAAATCGAATGATTTATGGCATTCTTGAACCAAGATGTATTTGACCCCGATAAATCAGGATATTGCGACATAATTATTCGATTTAAACTAATAAAATGACAAAAATTTCAAGGAAATTGCATCATCTTAATTGTCATGGACACAGAAATTTCGGAGGGGAATCAAAAAATATAAATACCGCGGTTTTAGAAGTGGGAGGCAATTGTTAGTTGTTAGTTTGAGTTAAAATCTACAGTACCTAAAGTGTCAGTCCGGAAAGTTTCTTGTATTGCCTCGGTAACAGTCTTTGAAAAAGTAGCGGAAAAATTTTAAAAGAAAAAATAATTAAATTCATCAACATTTATGTGCGTGCTAGCTAAAAATTTTGAGTATTTAATTAAGTAATTTTACGTGTGCAAAGTAAAATGTAAGTACTTTAGTGTTTAATAATTTTCTGACTTTTATCACTGATTCTGAATGATAAGAAGTGAATTAATAATGACTTTTAATGCCTAATGAAAATGGAAAATGGAACATTATTGCATAACTTTAATTGCCTTCAGATATAATGACATTCTAATTTAATTTTGCACCAAAAATATGAAGGGAATTTATAATGCACTTACCAATATACAATTTTGACTATTTTGAGTAGGGATTATGAATTAAACAGTTGGGTTTATTAGCTAGGCATAGGAATCCGAAAATAGAATTTGTTCTGATAAACTATTAACTGCAATAGGAAATTTTGAAAAGCAACTTGATGTTCATGAAATAGAATTGTCTTAAAATATTGGAAAATTGTTGTTCATGAAATGAATTTTCAATTAGGATTTTTATTTTTCAAGTAGAAATTATTGTAAGGTTTTATAAGAATAAGTTAGTAATACCTATATTGAGAAACAAATAGATAATTATTTTGGGTTTTCATAAGCAGTCAGTAAAGGACTTAGAAATTTTAAAGAATTTAGAGAAATAGGTGAAGGGTAGTTAATAGGAATGAATCGGAAGTGTTGAAATGAGTTAACTTATAAGTTATTAGGAATAGTAGAAATAGGGCGTTTCTTATTTAGTAGGGATATTTCAGTGGTCCGTAATAATAACAATGTTAGAACGGATGTGAAGTAATTGAATTTATAGAAATAGATGAGGCTGTCAGAATTGGAAGATATTTTGCTGATTTAGATTTTTGGTTTTACGTATAATAAAATATAATTTAATACACCTCAATAGTTTGTTTCTCTCTCTTGCAAATAGACCCTTCCACAGATTTAGGTAGCAGCTCCAAGTAAATAAACACCATCAATATACCGCTCGCCATTTACCATCTAACTAATTACATAGAGTACTTGGGGCGTTTTGCTATAACAGTACTGAGGAACAATATCTCAAAAAATAAATCCATAATCCATCAAAAAATTTGTCATCCCAAGACAAGGATGGGGATTAGAAAAAAAATGGGCAAGATTTAATCAGATGATATATTTTCTATTTGACGATGCAGGGGTCCAAATTCACATTTATAGGGAAAAACCTGGGTATAAAGTTAAAGAAGAAAAGCAAGAAGAAGAAATCAGGCATCTGATGCAAATCGGTACAGAAACTAAGAAAAAGACATATAAATTGGGTACAAAGAAAAATTATACGGTGTCTCAGAATGAGATTGGAATTAGATATTATGGGCAAACCTAGTGGGATTAAAGATAATACTATGTATATATGCAAATATAATTTAGACTGGTTAGCAAAAAATCATCTTGAACTAAAAACGCACATTCACACCAATGAAGGTAGCCTCAATTTAAAAGTACAATCAAACACAAGGAACCCAGTAGCCATATACGTCGGAACCACAATGGCATTTTTGGCAGAAACAGCATCAGAGACAAATTTTTCACACAATTTCATGTTGCAAGCAGAAAAAGATGAAGAGAACGAAGAAATAACAATGGAAGATCATAAGTTAGACAGCATCACAAACGAGAAAAACAGGCATGAACTTAAAGAACTCCTTCTGGACTACAACGACGTTTTCGCGAAATCTACAAAACATATGGGAAAGACAAACTTAACAGAACACATAATAGACGTCGGAGAGGCTCGCCCAATAAAGAGCCGCCCATACAGAGTGTCACAAAAAGAAAGACAGATTATTGACGAACAAATCCAGGAAATGCTCGATAGCAAAGTAATTCGGCCTTGCCACTTTCCATGGGCTAGCCCTGTAGTGCTAGTTAAGAAAAAATATGGAAAAACAAGATTTTGTGTAGATTACAGAAAGGTTAACACAGTAGGTAACAAAAAAATCAACATACCCACTACCGCAGATCGATGACATTTTGTCATACTTGGGCAATGCAAAATGGTTTAGCACACTCGATATGTTTTCCGGATATTGGCAAGTTCCAGTCGAAGAGAAGTCCAAGTAATACACTGAGACTTAAACCAGTGAAAGCCCCTCTGGGTATCTTCAGCCTCAGCCTTATCGTTGTCCAGTGCAATTACCTCCCGTTGGGAAAGCCCCTCTGGACTAGGCATAAGGGTGACGATAACTAAACGACAGTCCCCCAAGTAGCGTTGACGTGTGAATCCCTATAAGGACCCCAGTGTTCGAAGGGTCATGCATTTTATAGGACTAGCACATCTTATAGGATAAGGCTGAAGATACCCAGAGGGGCTTTTTTAACGAGAGGCACTTGCACTGGGGAGACTCAATTCCAGAGGGGCTTTCCCAACGAGAGGTAATTGCACTGGTTTAAGTCTCAGCCACTTTGGCGACGGTCACAATTTATTCTTCTATTGGCACTAGTTTTTAAATCTACGAATCTTTTCTTCACCTTCGCCACGCTGTCGTGAATTTTTCTTGTCGACGTACCGCCTGGTGACGTTTTTGGGCGTTGCCTTGCTTCAAAGGCGCGTTACGGCGTCGGTTTCGAGACGGCGCCTCCACCAAATATGTCACAACTGCCCGCTTTACGGGGGTGATGATGCGATATGTCAACTAGCTGCTTAGGAAAGGAGGACCCGGTATTCGACCTTATTAATTTAATTGCCGATTCGATCGGATGTTTATTGCAATTCAACAATAAACGGATACAAATTGCGCTGCAAGCCGGAGCAAAGGCAGACTTAAACCAGTGCAACTACCTCTCGTTGGGAAAGCCCCTCTGGAATTAAGTCTCCCCATTGCAAGTACCTCTCGTTGGGATGAAAGCCCCTCTGGGTATCTTCAGCCTTATCGTTGTCCAGTGCAATTACCTCTCGTTGGGAAAGCCCCGCTGGACAAGACATAAGGGTGACGATAATTACTCGACAGTCCCCCAAGCAGCGTTGACGTGTGGCTCCCTATAATGGCCCCAGTGTTCGAAGGGTCATGCATCTTATAGGATTAGCGTACATGTATAATTAAGGGCATATTTGGGAAAATATATATCTATATTTTATTTTTATACAACTTGAGCGAGTTTCTCTCCATCAACCCCCAAAGCTACAAACCCCCCATGTCACCCCCGTAAAGCCAGGGATCCGACTTCTATCATACAATCCAGGTCCTTATTCTTGGAACAGGGGAGCAGCGGAACACTCGTTCACCTGGGGCCACAATAATGTCATTTAATAATCAAACTGTCAAACTCAAATATCTAAAAATTGAGACTGAAAAACCAGGTACACACGATGAAGGTGACCACACATAAAAACCCTCGCCCCTACGGACTCGTAATTTAAAAAGACCCCGGCCCTCTGGGCTCATAACCTAAGTAGACTCCGGCCCTTCGGGCTCGTAAATTGAAAAGACCCCGACCCTATGGGCCTGCGAAGTGTTGCTGTCAAACTTTTTTTTAAATTAAAATTATGTCTTTTGAAGCTTTATTTTTGCTAAATTGTTTATTCAATTTGCATTATTTTCGACGACATTAGTATGCACTGAGTGTATTCGTGACTTTTTTTACTAGTTTGTATAAAAAAGAGATAGAAATACATTTTTTCTGAAATTGCTAAGGATTTGTTAAATTTTACAAAATTATTAGGTTTTGGAAGAAAAATTTAAAACGTAGCAACCCTAGTCTAAAAATGTAGTAACCCTAGCGCAATTTAACGTTTCAAAGTAGGTCTTGTAGTTTTTGACAGTTAATTTAAAATGGTTGGGTTGTTTCCAAGACCTACTTGATTTGATAAATTTTTTGCTTACAGTTATCTGTATTACCGACATCGATTAAAACCTGAGCTGGGATCGCAACAAGTAGAATTCTACTTTCATGACGTCAGGTTGCCTAGCAACAGTGATCATCGCCTGTAGTATACGCGATAAATAGGTCGCGGGTGACGTCATGAAAATAGAATTCTACTTACCATGATCCCAGCCCAGGATTGCTTCAAGGTTCACTTAGTTTTTGATAAGTAGTAATCTTATCGCTTGTCATAAATGATATTTGACATTTTGCCCAACAGTGTTGCCGATGTTTATATAATTACTGTTATGGAAAATTTGAAATTTGCGAGGCCTACTTGGGCTTTTTTTTATAAATTCGAGCCTCAATGATTGACACGATATTTTTTATAAGTTGTAGTTGGCAACACTGTTTGACAAGGGACCAAGTAGGCTTTGCAAAATTTCAAAATGGCGCCCTGTAATACCGATATTGCAATACATACATGTTTCCAAAGCCTACTTGATTTGATATAAGCCCGTAAGGCGAGAATATTCCTGAAAAATCAACTTTCAAGATTTCTGGTGATTTTTTTTTAAATTTAAATCTGGTGATTTTTCATTCCAATTTCTGGTGAATTCAATTTTTTTGACCTGGCAACAGTCCTATAGGCTGAAATTAAAAAAGCAATATAAGAAAATCAGTAGTTATTCCAAAGAAGACAAAACTTAAAATTACAATATTTTAAAAATACATTAAAGGATAATTGTTATATTATATTTTAGATTGTTATTTAAAGACCACAGTATCTAGCATAGCACCCAAACACTGTACAATATTGTTGGTCATCAGCACATCGACTTTTTCTTCCAAATGCCTCTTTGGATCTTGTTTGCCCACATTTTTGATGGCCAACTGTTCCGGAGTCATTTTCTCTTCATCTTCAAGAGCTAAAAAGCAATAATATTTAATAATAACTTTGCTGTAATAATAAAAACAAAAATTACCTTTGTTATAATTCTTGGCTAATTCCAACATTTCAGCAACAGTTTTTTCATTGGTACTACAGTTTTCTGAATAGTCAGCCAACATGAGGCCGTCCATCCAAGATTTTTTGTGCAAATTGAGCAGCATTTTTTGTTCCAGCTCGTTTTTCCTGTAGTTTATGCTAATCGAGTAGTAATGCCTGTTCAGGCCGTGAATGAGAGCTTGCACTGAAGGTTTTTGAAGGTGTCCCAAATTGGAGGTCGTTTGGCGAGGTTCTTGGCCCAAAACCATCATATTTGGGTTAATCAACCTAAATACGAATACATATGTGAAAATTTACAAATAATGAGATGGTAATACTGTCAAAAGTAATTTGTTAATTCTTACCTGAAAGCATCAATAACAACTTTCCCTTTAACAGACTGAATGGGATCGACTACAACAGCAACAGCTCTTTCAGACAAAGCCTCAAAAGACTGTTGAGTGTTGATGTCGACTCCTGAAAGCCAACAACCAAAACCGGGATGCGAGTGGTACCAGCCCACCACCATTTCAGGCCTTCCAGTTTGGCGCAGCATGTCCAACATTTTTGCTTGAAATACTGGATCTACGGCTTCTACACTGACACCGGTACCGGTTTGGGGCATAGCAAACACATCTATAACCCTTACAGTGTAGTCATCTACAAATTCGCCTGGAAAAGTTTGAATGATCAGTTTTAGTATTGTGGTTGGTGGACAATTCTTACCCAGCATGAGACCCATAACTTCCATAGGCACACCTGCTCGACCGTGTTTGAGCATTTTTAAAAGGGCCAACGAGGAAATGTAAACTTGTTCTGCTGTGTCTACCACAGGGGCATCATTCGGAGGGGGTGCCTGGCTCAATCCCGGCATACCGCCGCCCAATCTTAATAGTCTATCCATTCTAGAAGGCTTTTATTCACTAATTAACTTGGAACAATGGAAATTGGGATTGTAGTTTCTATTTTTAATAAGAGAAATTTGAAAAAAGGTTGGTCACTGAGTCACTGTTGTTTTGTGTCCAATGCTGCAAATCATGACGTTGACATTTTATTGACACTAGTGACTTGAATGAAGTACGTCGCAATTTAGAGTGCGTTCTAAATCACCCCAGGCGTCACACCGAGTAAACACCAGGGGTGCGTTTAGAAATGTAGTGTGAGGATAGAGTAGTTAGTTGTTTGTCAGAGTGTTCTGACGTCATCACTTGGAGTGCAGTATTTTTGAACGTATTGGGGCGTTGTAGTAACTGTCAACGCGAAGCTCGGTAAAAACCACGAGGCGCTTTTCAACCCAGCTCTGGGGTCGTATTTTCGAATTCATTCGAGTACATTTCGTATACGAAATTTGATTGACAGCAATGTAAATTAAATGGGGAGTATTCGAAATCGAATCAAATTTCGTATGCGAGAATATTCGAAAATACGACCACTGAGTGGGGTTATTTGGGAGTACTCTGGGCGCGTCAACTTTCGATTTCTGAACGATTCCAGCGAGACGCTCCGAGTAAGCACCTGGTAATTTATGAACAAATTAAAGTTACTCTAAGGTCCCTCTCACACCCAGAGTGCTATTTCTAAACGCAACCCAGCCATGCATGATTCAGGCTAGTATGCACTCGGTGTCACGTCTAGGGCGATTTCGAACGCACTCTTGAGGCTTTTTAATCGAATCGCGAACAAAGAACTAATAGCGCTTTTGACTTTTGCCTCAGAACTGCACCCAATTGATCAAAAAACGATCCGAAACGGATTCACATGTTCGGCTTAAAACGGAGCGTTGCTCTCAATTCACGTGTTCTTGAGCAATAGAACGCTCTCAAATCTCAAACTCGATGAATCAAAGGGTTTCATAAAAAAAAGTACGTTCGGCTATGATTTCAAATGATGTGCCCTTGTTGGGATTGTAATCGTTCTCGATTCTCAAAGCACTCCCGCAAAGATCTGTGACGTCAGCTCCTAAATGGGAAGCGCTCTCGGAGAATTAAAGCCGAACATGTTAAAGAAGTTCGGGTAGTGATCCATGGACGACCTAAATTTGACCTAGGTTCCGAATCAGCTCTGAATCGCCCTTGATAGCTCCGTTCACGGAACACATTGTGAACATATTGGAACTCCGGTTCTAAATCGATCTGGAACCGATTCTAGTTGAACCACGAGTATTAAACTGTTGCTTAATAGATATTCTGAATTTCAGTGATCTGCAATGGACGTATGTAATGCGTTTCGGAATAGTTCCGAACAAAGTTAGTTTCAGTTCTTATTGTTCGCAAATAAATTAGAATAGGTTCCGGATCGTGCATGCCAACTTATGAAATAAAGTGCGTTTTTTTTTAAAGATAAAAGTCAAACTGGACATTAGGTTGGCAAATATATGCTATGCTATCAAATTTTTCATGTAGAAAAGGCTTGTGCTGCCAACATAGTTACTAAATTTTTGACTTGGGGAATTATCTTTAAAAAAAAAACAGATTTTAGTTTAGAATTTTATTGCACCGTGAACGATTGCGGATCAAAAAAAAGGAAATTGCTGTTCAGAGTCGCTTTCGGGTGCAGAGTGCGAAGCTCCTAGAACACTTCACACCCGTCATAATTCATGCGTTTTGCACTCGAACGCTTGAAACCAAACCGGTCAAACTGTAGCCGAAATACTTCGGAGTAACTCGGGAACGCTCAAAAGGTGGCACCCGAAAGCAACTCTGGTGTCAGGTTTAGAACTTATGGTTCTTGTTAAATTCCTGAAACTATTAGAACAAAACAGAACTAGTTCAAAATCGATCTGGAACCAATTCTAGTGATCTTGATAATCGGATTACTAATTCCGAATTTTCAGTTACAAATCTTTGTTCGCGGTGCATCCAGTATTTGTTCCAGATCGCGTAGGCCTAATTATTTAAAAACTAGTTGAGAATTTTATTTCACCACGGTGCGAACAACTCGAGAATTAAGAAAAGAAAATTCCTATACAAATCTCGAACCTATAATATTTGTTAAAATGCGGAGAGCTGGTAGAACCAGTTCAGAATCAATCTAGAACCGATTCTAAGTTGATCTGGAACCGTTTCTGGTTAGTTCTGAATCGTCCTGGCTATGCTTAGTTCGCGATTCACATTCCAAACCCCAGTTCTAAGTTGATCCGGAACCATTTCTAGTTTGTTCTGAACCCTTACCGCAAACGAAGTTTCTTTCTTCAAGAATTGGTTCCAAAATTAAGGCCGGATTTTCATGCATCCGTTTTCCGACGAAATATGTCCGAAAAATCGCCTATTTTGACATATTTTTATACGATTATGTCAGAATAGAATGTTTTTCGGACATCTTTCGTCGGAAAAACGGATGCATGAAAATCCAGCTTAAAGCCTAGTACGCATAACTGCGAAATTCGCTTTTTTTGACATTGCTTCGACAATTTGACGTTTGATACACCCATAAAACGTCAAATTGTCAAAGCAATGTCAAAAAGTGCGAATTTCGCAGTTATGAGTACTAGGCTTAAGGGAGGATTTTCATGCATCCGTTTTTCCGACGAAATATGTCCGTTTAACATTCTATTCTGACATAATCGTATATAAATATGTCAAAATAGAAGACTTTTCGGACATATTTCGACGGAAAAACGGATGCATGAAAATCCTCCCTAATTCGTAAAAATTTCCGAGTTCTCGTTCCATGAACTGGCGCAAAATTACACATACGCTTAAGAACAATCCTGGAATCCCTTCGATGATCCACAAACTAGCTATTTTGTGAAATTCCTAGAATCACCAGAACTAATTCAGAATCGATCCAGAACCAATTCCATTTCAACAGCGAACAAAGAATGTTATCAAAACGGAATTAGTGATCCATGAACGACTCAAATTAACTAGGAATAGTTCCGAATTAGTTCTGGAATCACCCTTGCTATGCTCTGTTTACGGTACACATACTTACCTATTGGAATTCCAGTTAGAACTAATTCAGAATCGATCCGGAACCGATTCCAGTTGAACAGGAAACAAAGATTGCAAGTGATCCATGAACGACAATTTGAATTACGGATAGTTCGGAATCAGTTCGGAATCAGTTCTGGAATTCCCCTTGCTATACTTTGTTCACAGTAGACATACTGAACCTATTGGAACTCCAGTTCTGAATCGATTTGGAACAGATTCTAATAGAATCGCGAACGAAGAACGTTAACTAATAAAAATTTTGTGATACTCAATTTTCCGAGTTTTTGTTCTTTCCGCACTAGATCTACCAATCGGAAACGCCATTAGAATCCACCGGAACGGATTTCAGTTGAAACACGAACAAAAAATTAATAGCGCTTTCGACAAAACTGCACCCAATTGATCAAAAAGCAATCTGGAACGGATTCACATGTTTGGCTTAAAACGGAGCGTTGTTCTCGATCCAGGTGTTCGACTTGAGCAACAGAACGCTTTCAAATCTCGCACGGAGCGCCCTTTCTTGATTCGTCAAATTCCATCGATCAAAGAGCTTGATCAAAACAATAAATTTCAGCTATGATTTCAACCGGTGTGCCTTTCTTTGTTTAAATTTTAATCCCTCTCGAAACACTCCCGCAAAGATCTGTGACGTCATCGCCCAAATGGGAAGCGCTCTGGGAGCAGCGTAGCCAAAAATTTTATAAGTTCAATTTAATGATCTATGAATATCCTAAATTTGAACTAAGGATAGTGCCGAATCAGCTCTTAATCGCCTTTGTCAAGCTCCGTTTACGGAACACATTCTGAAAATATTGGAACCCCAGTTCTATGAATATGGATTCGATTCTAGTTGAATCCCGAACAAAGAACTGAAACTGAGTTTTTGTTTCCTGTTCCGAAATGGTTTGCAAAATATGGATGCACTCTAGTGATAAATTAGAATTGGTTCCGGATCGCGCATGCCATCTTGTGAAATATTTCAGAATTTTATTGAACCCTGAACGATTGCAGAACTAGAAAAGAAAATTGCTGCTCAGATATCGAACTATGTTTCTTGTTAAAATTTCTAGAAATATTAGAACTAGTTCAGAATTGATTTGGAACCAATTCTAGTGATCTGGATAATCAGATTATTACTACTCAATTACGAATCTTTGTTCGCGGTAAGTCCAGAATTTGTTTCAGATTGCGTATGCCTAATTATGAACTAGTTCATAATATTATTTCACCGCGTCCTCCGGAATAAGAAAAAGATCATTCCTACACACCGTGCGTTCGGTATTTTGTTCAGAGTACTCCGAGCTTGAATGTACCGTTCGTTTATTTTTATCCCTGGAACCTCTAGAACTGATTCCAGGGATTCACATGTTCGGGTGATGGAGCGTTACTTTCAATTCACGTGTTCGACTCAAGCAATAGAACGCCCTCAAATATCGCACGGAGCGCTCTCTTTTGCTCGGTCAAATTCGACGGATCAAAGAGTTTGATCCAAACAATAAATTACGTTCGGCTATTTCAAATGGTGTGCCCTCGTTTGGATTGTAATTGCTCTCGAAGCACTTCTGCAAAGATCTGTGATGTCACCGCTCACTTGAGGAGCGCTCTGGGAGCAATAAATTTGGACATCTTTTTATTATAGAAGTTCGGGATTATTAGTTCCGAACAGCTCTGAATCGCCTTTGCTAAGCTCCATCCACGGAACACATTCTGAACATATTAAAACCCCGGTTCTGGAACCGATTCTAATTGATCGCGAGCAATGGCGCTCCGGAATAGTTCTGAATTTGTTCTGAATCCTTACCGCGAACGAAGTTAGTTTCAGTTCTTGTTCGCTAAAATCGGGTCTGATTCGTTTATGCCTAAACATTAAATAGTTCAGAATTTTATTGCATTCCGAACAATTGCGGCAAAATAAAGAAAATTGCTCAATTGCTGCTCAGAACGCGAATCTATGTTCCTTGTTAAACTTCTTCTAAAATTAAAAGAACTTTTGTTGCACCGCTCGGAAATAAGAAAAGAAAATTCCTACACAGATCTCGAATTATGATTCTTGTTTAATCCGAAGAACTGGCAGAACCGGTTGAGAATCGTTCTGGAACCGATTTTAGTTCATCCACGATCTAAAACTGTGATCCACAAGTTCGATTTTTCGTGATCTGCAGTGAACGACATACTGAACTGCGCATGCGAACAGTTCTGAATCGTCCTAGCTAGAGTGCGTTTAGAAATAGAGTGTGAAGGTAGATTAGTCGATTGTCAGAGTGTTCTGACGTCATCACTTGGAGTGCACTCTAGGTGCGCTATTTCTGAACGTATTGTGGCGTTGCGGTGAATCTCAATGTCATGAATCACGTCAAACCCGGTAAAAACGAATAGTTCTTTTCACGTGACTCCGGTTTAGCTAACCGGGTTACAAAACGGTTAGAGAAATGACATACCGTTTTCTAACCCGGTTACGAAGTGACGTGATGGATACCTACCACGCGAATTTGAGCGGTATGTTGCGGTTTGTTAAACCGGAGCCACGTGAAAAGGGTTAATGTAATAACCGCGGGGCGTTTTTCAATTCAATCCAATCAACCATCACTAAAATTCAATTCAATCAATTTTTATTAGTTACACAGTTCTTTGTTGGCAATTCAACTAGTATCGGTTCCAAATCGATTCAGAACTGGAGTTCCAATATGTTCAGTACGTGTACCGTGAACAGAGCATAACGAGGGCGATTCCAGAACTGATTCGGAACTATCCGCAGTTTAAATTGGAGTCGTTCATTGATCACTAAATTCTGTTTTGGTTACATTCTTTGTTCGCTATTCAACTGCAGTCGGTTCTGAATTAGCTCTGCCGGTTCTAGATTTCTCAATAGAGCTTGTTCGCGGATTACTGAACCGATTCTGGAACTATTACAGGATTGTTCTGATCCTCAGATTAATACGATTCGAGTAGCTGGTGCGCTTTCACCCAAAATCTATCATCAGCTGCGGTGTCCGAGTGGTTAAGGAGATGGACTTGAAATCCATTGGGCTTTGCCCGCGCAGGTTCGAATCCTGTCCGCAGCGATTACTTTTTTTTGTTAGTTTAATTTACACATTTCGGGTAGTTCATGCATTGTGAAAAAGCAACTCTGTTTTCATTATGTGGACTAATTTGGGCGCACTTTGGGCACGTCAACTATCGATTTCTAAACGATTCCAGCGTACGCTCCGAGTAAGCACCTGTTAACTTATGAACGGTTTAGAGTTACTCTAGGGTCACTCTCACACCAACAGCGCTATTTCTAAACGCAACCCTATGCTCAGATCACGTATCACATTTCGAACCTCAGCTCTAAGCTGATCTTGAACCGGTTCTGCTCAGTTCCTAATCGTCCTTAGCCGCTTTCGGGTGCTCCTAGAACACTTCACACCTGTCACTGATTTGTCATACTCCATGCGTTTTGCACGCAAATGCTTGAAACCGAACGAGTCAAACTGTAGCCGGAGTACTTCGGAGTAACTTGGAGCGCTCAAAGGCTGCAATCCGAAAGCAGCTCTCGCTATGCTCAGGTCACAGATTGCATTCAGAACTCCAGTTCTAAGTTGATCCGGAACGGCATCTGGATAGTTCTGAACCCTTAACGCAAACAAAACGTAATTTTGGTTCTTCAACAAGAATCGGTCCCAAATTTATTCGCGAAAATTTCCGAGTTCTCGTTTCCTGTTCCGAAATCGTTGGCGATCTAGAACAATCGTTGGCGCTCTAGAACAATCCTGGAATCGCTATGGTGATCGGCAAATATGCTATTTTGTATAATTCCTGGAACGGACAGAACTAATTCAGAATCGATTCGAAACCGATTCGAACAGCGAACAAAGAATGCAACCAAAACAGGATTTAGTGTTCCATGGACGACTTTAAATTTTAATTACGGATAGTTCCGCATCAGCTCTGAAATCGCCCTTCCTATGCTCTGTTCACGGTACACATACTGAACCTATTGGAACTCCAGTTCTGAGTCGATTTTGAACCGATTCTAGCTGAATCGCGAAAAAAAGAACTTTTAACTAATAAAAATTCTGAATTTTAGTGATTGTCAATATTTAAACTGCGCTTCCGAATCAGTTCTGAATCCCAAATTTATTTTCAGATCGTTACGATTTTTTAGGCAATTTTTTGCGAGGATAACCAAGCATAATCTTTTGCTGGATTATGTGATGTGTTCCTAGCTCCCCCACCATTAAATTCTGGGATTTTCGAGTATCAAGAACTTGACTTCTTCTGTGAGAACAGACCGAAAATCACCTTTTCTACATTTAAAATCGACGAAAAAATTAACTCACTAGCACAGCCTGAATCACAAACATTCCATCGAGGTCTGCGGGTGACGTCATTACTATGAGCTGCCGGTAGTGACGTAACTCATGAACTAACTAGGTATACGCTCTAGAACAATTCCGTAATAACTCCGGAATCGGTTCAGTAATCCGCGAACAAGCTCTTTTGAGGAATCTAGAACCGGCACAAAATAATTCAGAATTGATCCGGACAATGTTCAAGTTTCTAAAAATTACGTCCACTGAATGCTCTCGGATGTCATTTACCCTTCTGTAAACAACTCACATAACCTCAAAAATTTTGAAATTTAAAAAATACAAAAACAAAAAGAAATAATAATTATTATCTGATAACTTGCTGATAAGAATAAGATAAAGAAATGAATTCTAATACAAATGTAATTATTATAAGATAAAATTCCAAACGAAACTTACAATATCCCTCTTTGAACAAAAATGTCCAAAAAAATCGTAGTAGTTGGTTCTTGCATGATAGATTTTGTAAGGTAAGGAATCAAAACATGTTTTAAATACAAAATAAAACCCTCCAAGCCTTATTTAGTTACGCTCCAAGATTACCTGAGGCAGGCGAAACCATACACGGTCACAAATTTGTAACAAATTTCGGTGGAAAAGGAGCGAATCAATGTGTGGCCGCTGCCAAACTAGGAGGAGACGTAGCCCTGGTTGCCAGAGTAGGCGACGACGTTTGGGGCCCCAAATACATCAACAATCTTAAAAACGAGCAAATCGACACACAAAATGTTAGAATAACTGAAAACTCCAGCAGCGGCATTGCACAGATAATTGTAGCCGACTCTGGCATTAACCAAATTGTAATTGTAGCTGGAGCCAATCTTAGCTTAAGTCCTAAAGATGTTCTAGACTCTCAGCCATTAATTAGTTTAGCTAAAGTTTTAGTGTTACAATTGGAGACACCTGTCGAGACTGCTATTGAAGCTTTAAAACTATGCAAAGGGATTTCTATATTAAATGGGGCTCCAGCTTTAGCTCAATACAATTTGGAGCTATTAAAATTGCCTTCAATATTTTGTGTCAATGAAAGTGAGGCTTCTGTATTTACTGGGCTTCCTGTAAATAATGTCTGGTAAATGATAATTATTTTGTATTTAATAATACATAGTTGATTATTTATAATTGTAGTGAAGCTGAAATTGCAGCAAAACTCCTAATATCAAAAGGCTGTCAAAGTGTACTTATAACTGTAGGAGCTGAAGGTGCTGTTTACTTATCCAACGATCCAAGCAAAAAGCTTCTTCATGTAGATTCTCCCAAAGTAAAAAGCATCGACACTACAGGGGCTGGAGATGCTTTTATTGGGGCTCTGGCCTTCTGTTTGGCCAATTACGACCATATTTCAATGGAAAATGCTATTAAGGCTGCTTGTATTGTGGCAGCCGATAGCGTAACACGGTTGGGTACCCAAATCAGTTTTCCTGGGCCTGAGATTTTGCAAAATGTGCTCTGAGAATTTGAGGCTGTGTTTTAAGGTACTTAATTTTAATTTAATTTAATGGCTGTTTGTGTACAGTACTACGAGTGTTGGGATTCTATTATAATTTCTAATTAATCAAAACTCAAATAATTACTCTTACGAAAAGAAAATGTATTGCCTATTTTGTGGTATTAAATTCCATCTTAAAAATGTTACAGCTTATAAAAATATTGCCCCCCGTTCTTCATTAAAAATTAGTTCTTAAAAAATACGATTTTTTTTATGTAAACTGCTTTGTACTAAATTCAGTATTTGTCTTGAGTAGTGTACAGCAAGCAATGTACAAGATCTATAAAAATATACTAAAATCTATTAAGAAAATACAGAAGTCTTTTAGAAAGTAAAAATGGAAAATTCCCAAAGAGTTAAACCTAAATAATACTTTTTAAAGTCTTTAAAATAAAAAATCTAAAAAAAAAAAAACAAATTAAAGCTTTGCTTTTGAGTCCAAGAGAAAACTAATTAATTGCAAAATTAAACGAATGATAACTATTAGCTAAATAATAAAATTTATACAAAAATAAAGGAAGACTCTTAGGTTATTGCAACAGGTTTAAAAAAAAAAAAATTACTTTATCCTTAAAATTATTTACCTCTATTCTCCTCAACAACCCCCAAAGCTTCCAGCTCTCGTAAAACACTAGTAAGATAACCAGGATCCGGATAGCTGTAGCTGTTATTACTAGGCCCCATTTCAGTCTTGTGTGGAATGTTCCAGGACACCACATCTTCACATCCAGTGGTATTTGATCTAGTTATCTTTAAAAACAATATTTTAAAACAAATTAAAACATTACTCCAAGTAGCTTACAGTAAATATCAATTTCCTATGCCAGGCTTCATCTAGAAGCCTCAACACTTTTCTGCCCTTAGGATTATCAGGAATGTAAGCCACTCTTGGAAAACCAACAGCGTAATATTCCCTGCCTGGATTTGGATGGTCTGGGCCTTGAATGCCTGATTGAATGCTTCAAAAGCAAAATTATTAGTTTAAATATTAGAGTCATACAATTATATTTACTTATAAACAATTTGTATAGTGCGAAAATTCTGATAGCCAGGCAAGCTGCGTTCGATGACGCCCCACTCCATAGTCCCAGGAGGTTGATTACCATGCTTTTCTCCATAAATGCAACCGCAAACTGAGCACTGGATGTGCAGTTGATCTCCCGCTTCCTGCAGCTCCGTTAAAGAATAGTTGAGACAATCCAAGTGTAACACGTGATTGCAAGGGAGGGCGATTACGACTAAACTGGGTTTCAGTGTTTGCCTGCAGAGGGGGCAAGGTTGGCGGGGGGCCCATTCGCTGGATTTTGAGACTCGGACGAAGCGAGATATGCTGGCACTTGCTGGATCTAAACCTGAATAGGACAAGTACTGATTACTGTTATATATTGTTTAAACTTCTCATTAAATCAAGTCTTAACTCTTTTTGTATTCACATTTTCAAATCAGAAATGATGACATCAAGTTTCAAGACTTTGTCTTGAGAGGGGTCACTCTCGCTAGTTACCAGAATAGAATTTGAATTTGTGTTCATCATATCCTCATGACATGAGTCAATTATTGCAAATTCAAACATACTAGACAAAGATAGACTGCTCATCGTCTCATCAGAAAAAAAGATTGCGCACATAGCAGGAGGAAAAGACACATTTTCCTATCTTGTTTAGGTATCGAAAATGAAAAATTATGACAATCTTGACTTGGTCAAGACGTAATTTTAGATTTCAATCTTGAATTTCTGATTTTAATAGGTATTTTTATGTTTTTTTTTTTTAACCGTTATAACCTGATAGTTACGTAATAATAATTGGCTATAATTAAGTTGATATTAGTTTAAAAAAGACGTTCTCAGAAAATTCTCAAATTTGAGAATATTTTCGAGAATATTCTCTTTTTTATTTTTCTCGAGAATTCTAGACCTTTCAGTTTTCCAAAATCTAAATCATAATAATGATGATATTTCAATATTTTTTTTGTCGAGATTTTGTATCTTAATGGTCAATCAACATACCCCAAACTCCATACACTAAATTATTCTCAGATTTCTATAACCAAATTGCTTAACACGTTTTTATCCCAGGAATTATAAGTCCAAATGTGTTGAAATTTTTCAGGGATTGAAGTCCTCTACTGGAATAAGTATTGCTGAAAATTTCAGCTTTCTATCTATAATAGAAAAAAAAATAATGACCTTTCAAAGTTTTCCAAAATCTAAATCATAAGGTAGCTACTTTCTTACTAAAACGATGAAATTTCAATTTTTTTTTTGTTGAGATTTTGTGTCCTAATGATCACTTGGGATTTCCCGAACTCCATACACCAAGATTTGAAGCCGAAATCTATGAAAAAAGGCACTCAGAAAAATTTAAAAATTGATAAATTACCCTAAATTGCTTAACATTTTATCTAAGGAACTATAAGTCCAAATGAGTTGAAATTTTCAGGGACTGAAGTCCTCTACTGGAATAAGAATCGCTAAAAATTTTAGCTTTCTATCTATAATAGAAAAAAAGTTATGACCTCTCAAAGTTTTCCAAAATCTAAATCATAAGGCGATGAAATTTCAATTTTTTTTGTTGTTGAGATTTTGTGTCCTAATGGTCATTTGATATCCCCCGAACTCCATACACCAAGTTATTCCCAGATTTGAAGCCGAAATCTATGAAAAAAGATACTCAAAAAAATTGAAAAATTGACAAATCACCCCAAATTGCTTAAGTCTGACAGAAACTAGTAGTTTTTTTGTGTTTTTTGACCCATATGTAGCTGCCACGCCATCTTAAATGTCACGTGGTTTGGATTGCCTAATTTGTTACAGGGTCTCCAGGTTAATGGGCAAGTATAATGAGACATTTTATTTGCAGACTGCTAACACCAACATGTTATACAGAAGTCCTTTATAGTGTATGTGCAGAGTCTTTAATAAGGTTTCTGGAGACTGTGACATGAATGTCGATTCTATACACTCAATCAATCAGACCGTACTAAACGAGGGGTCAACCACTCTGTGAAAATTTGTACACCTATTGCGAAATTGTCGGTATTTTGCAAGTATTTCGGTGGTGGTAATTCGAACCTAGTTTTTTATGGTATTGCCAAGTACTTCGTAGTATTTGGAGGTAATTCGAAGTATTTCGAGGCGAGCCGAGGTATTTCAAGCTATTTAAAAATAGTTTTTTTTTTTATACCGAGAATAATTATTTCTTTATCACTTAAAATTGCAATATTATAGAATGAAAATTATAGTCCATCTTCGAACAGGCTAAATATGTTATATAGTCCAACAAATACCATTTAAAAGTCACATGATTTTTCGTTATCCTTGTTGAATACATCTCAAACAGCGGTGATAGTAGAATTGACAAAAAAATGATAGATGCTACAATACCTGTTATTTCTGTTTTACCTTTAAAATGTTGGCCCAATGTGGGGCACAGATGGTTGAGTGGAAGAATGGCCAGTGGCTAAACTTCGCCACTTGTGTTCTGTATGCGTGAATCATATATTATATTATATTATATATTATGAATGTATGAATATGCAAATAAAGACGTTTATTATTATTATTATTATTATTAAAATTGGTGTCTAATTATTGTTCATAAAATTCTTACCTGAAATAGAATCCGTCACTGTGATCAATTAGTTTGTCAAAGTTATTTTCGAAAATGATACAACGAACAAACACAGCTAATAATTTCGACTATATTAACCTTTTTCCATCTCGAAAAGAAGCAAATAGAAAACGAGCACCTAATTCAAGTTCAGAATGAATTACAACGGGCAGCAGATGCGTCAAAAGTGAGTCTCGCAACAATTGCAAGTATTAAAATTCCCATCTGATTGGTTAATATTAATTACTTCAGAAACGCGTTTGTAAAATGCTAGTGGGAACATATCTTAAAATTCAATAGTTATTAACCACCAGTAACTTTTTGTAGGTGATATCAACGACATAATCAATGGACATACGTTTTTTGCCACCAAAATCACGTGACTTTAAAATGGTATTTGTCGGACATATATACTTTGAATTTACTGCAGAGTAATCGAAACAAATGGAAAGATATACTAATGGCGTTTCCGATTGGTAGATTTAGTGCAGAACTAGTGCAATTTTTTCTATTTCTCTCTTTATCTTCTACAGGTCGATTAAAAAGATGCAAATACACTCAGTGCGCACTGAATCTACCAATCGGAAACGCCATAAGTGTATACCTGATATGTATTAGTAATCAATGTCAGTTAGTGAATAGTACAGGGTCATCCAACGATCACTGAACAGAGGATTATTTTTGACTTTCCCTGTATTTTTGAGATAATTCAAAATAGCCAATTGGACATTTTTTCTTTGGAGAACCGAAAAATGGTACTAAAAAATCATTTGAACCAAAAACCAAAGAGTTACGAGTGACGACGTGTTTTTTTGTATGATTTTTGGAAAAGTCTCATTTTTCGCGTCTATTCTGTAGAACATACATATTTGATATTCCGATTGCTGTTTTTATTTTATTGTTCTATACTTAATCATTTTAGCTAGACCTGTTGGATTTAATTGATTCAATAGAATAGACGTGAAAAATGAGACTTTTCCAAAAATCATACAAAAAAACACATCGTTCTATGTAAGAAACAGTTCATCCATGGTGTAACTCTTTGATTTTTGGTTCAAACGATTTTTTGGTATCACTTTTGAATTCTCCATAAAAAATATTCCAATTGGCTATTTTGGATTTTCTGAAAAATACAGGTTAAGTCAAAAATTGCCCCTGTTCAGTCCTCGTTGGATGACCCTGTACCTAATAGCATTGTAAAACTAACAGTCACCTGCATCACTAACTATTGATTTAATTGTCTATCCTGTGTGTCGAAATAAAATCCATCATATCAAAAGACACAAAAAATCCCAGCAAAAAATACTTCTCTGTGATCTGCAAGAATCAACGATAAATTTTTTAGAAGTATTGCAGGACTTCGCATGGTAATTCGAGGGTATTTCGCGTAATTCGACGGTAATTCCATGGGATTTCGCGTACTTCAGTGGGAATACCTGGTATTTCGAGGTACTTCAAGGTATTTCTAGGTACTTCGAAGTATTTCGGAGGTTATACAACTCACTGTACAGGGTATTTCAAATTCGAGCCACATCATTGGGATCTCGGAAACGGTGAGAGATACAGGGTTGGTTAAATTGGGGCAAAGTTGCAAAATTTAATGTTTAACAAAATGCCGCTCTGATATTTAGAATATTCCGAATACTTCCGGAGATATTCGGAAAAAACCGAAATTTTGCAAAATTGTTTTTATTTTCTTCTGACTTTATTTGAAGTGATATTCCAAAAAAAATATCACTTTGTCATGGCCACTTTTTCTCCCCTACAAGTAATTTTGAATGGCATCCCAATAATTTTTTCGCATTTTTGGTATCTGCGGATCATGATGTGTATGAAAACGTCAAATTTGAACATTTTTGAAGAAATTTTAGAACTCTGAATGAAAATTTACTTTTGAACAGAAAGTGACGGAGAGGTTTTAAAATTGTTATTTTCAACCCACACAATCGTAGAAAAATGCGAGTGCCAAGATGTTATCCTTTGTTTGCTCTCCAAAGGCATCCAAAGTTGAAAAAATCCCATTTTGCGTGATAACTCAATGAATTCAGTGAAATCACCCAACTTTCACAACAAGAGTTTTTTACCTTTTTCAAAATAAAACCAACTATGCATTGAAACTTTTCATTTATGTTAGTTTTTAATTATTTTCTTATTATTTTTATAATGCACTACTATAAATGATAAAACTACTTATAAATGAACCCCTGTATGAAGAAAGCTTTCCAAAAGGAACTGGTGTTTTTTTTTCTTGACAAGCCATTGACAAGATCTGTGGCCAAGCTATGTTTATTTGTCATTGTTTGACATCTTGGGAATTTGTAAATACAAAGTTTGAATACAGGGGTTTATTTATAAGTAATTTTATCAGTTATAGTAATGCATAGTAAAAATATTGGAAAAATAATTAAAAACTGGCATGAATAAAAAGTTTTATTTGCAATCATATATGTAATCTTGTCATTAATGGCTTTTTAAAAATTTGGAAGTGACACTTTACCTGTGTCACTTCCCTCTTCGATTTCCCTCACCGATTTCCCTATTCGACTTCCCTCACCGATTTCGCTCACTCTAATTTATTTACCTTTGCTGGCAACAATGAAAACATGTCAGGTAAAAACGTCAAAGCAGCGAATGACACATTTTGGCATGTTTGTTTTATTTTTTTGATATAAAAAAAATTGATTGACTAATCATAATTAATGGTGTGCTTGCAAATAAAATAGTATACAAACCTCGGAGGGAAGTTTTCATTTCTGTCTCGAGATTAATAGTCAATCTCGACGTAATGAAACACTTCCCTACTCGGTATGTAATATACTATTATTTGCAACCATATATGTAATCTCGACATTACTGACTTTTTAAAAAATTTGAAAGTGACACTTTACCTGTGTCACTTCCCTCTTCGATTTCCCTCACCGATTTCCCTATTCGACTTCCCTCACCGATTTCCCTCACTCTAATTTATTTACCTTTGCTGGCAACAATGAGAACATGTCAGGTAAAAACGTCAAAACAGGTGAATGACATATTTTGGCATGTTTGTTTTATTTTTTTAATATTAAAAAAATTGAATGACTAATCATAATTAATAGTGTGCTTGCAAATAAAATAGTATACAAACCTCGGAGGAAAGTTTTCATTTCTGTCTCAAGATTATTAGTCAATCTCGACGCTTCGCGTCTCGATTTACTATATAAATCTCTCGACAGTAATGAAACACTTCCCTACTCGGTATGTAATATACTATTAATGCATAGTTGGTTTTATTTTGAAAAAGGTAAAAAACATTTGTTATGAAAGTCGGATGATTTCACTGATTTCATTGAGTTATTACGTAAAATGCGATTTTTTCAGCTTTGGAAGCCTTTGGAGAACAAGCATAGGATAATAACTTGGCATTCGCATTTTTCTACAATTTTAAGACCGCTCCGTCACTTCCTGTTCAAAAATAAATTTTCATCCAGAGTTCTGAAATTTCTTCAAAAATGTTCAAATTTGACGTTTTCGTACACATCATGATCCGCAGATACCAAAAATGTGAAAAAATTATTGGGATGCCATTCAAAATTACGGAGTTAGAACCATTTCCGGTCAAACCGGAAGTTACCAAACATTGACACACATGTCAAAAGATGACATTTCTCAAACCTACACTCCATACCAAAAATCTTTGCCATCGAACAAAAAACCAGCAAATGCCAGCGCGAAACTGATCTCGTAGACACCCGGTATATTTGAAATGAGAAAAAGAGACGTTTAAAAAATTGACTTAAACATAGGTTATTCCATTTAAAAAAAATACTTTTTTGGTCACAGCGCTTTAACGAAAAATCTAATTAAATTTCGAAAAACGGTCTCAAACACCTAGAAACAAAATACACCAAATGGCTATCTTGATTTTTAAAAAAAAAAAATTTTTTGCGAAAAGGTAGGGGGTGTTCACTTTATACTGGATCACCCTGTACAAGTATTTCGGGAAGTGGTTGACCCCTCGGTACTGAATATTTAGATTTTGGCTTAACTTGCTTACCTTCTCTTTTTTTATAATGCTTTTACTTATAGATTTAGTTGCTTGTTAATAAATATTTTTTTTTTATACGTTTTCCTGTAATTAGGATTATTTGAGGCTGAAGGACCTCGGTCAATGGCCTTTTGAACTGTATCGTTCAATAAAGATCTATTATCTAGGATTATTCTTGTTAGAAATAAAGACCTATTTATAAAAAAAAATCAAGAGCCTGGAATAAATAGAAGTTATGCAAATAAAATGAAAAATGTAAATAGAGTGGAAATTGAAAAATGCCTGGAAAAAATAGAATGAAATATCAATTAATAACACATAAAGCTGAAATAAGCCTCGTCTCAGTGAAAAAATAAGTTCTGTGAAATAAGTTCAAATTGGATCTGTCAACTAAAAATATCTGGTTCTTACCAATTATAGAAGCAATATTATCGACTCCTTCCACTATACCATCATCGCTTCCACTGCAATTAATCAAATCGGCTGTAGAAGCTGTAGCTTGACTCTCCCTACTCTCCTGACTCAAATAAGTCGAAACTGTATCCAAACTCGGCCTCCTGCCTGATTTTGTGCTGCTACTATCAGCATCCAATAAAGTGCGGTTTTCCAACTGATTAGCTGCGGCAGTTGCATTATTATTACTAGTAGATTTATGCCCAAAAATATTCAAGTTGCTCAATATAACTCTGGCCAAATTAGTAGGTGTATCATTACTAGTTTTTGTTGTTTTAGAAGACTTTTTTTTGTTGCTGTTTTTTTTGTTGGAGTCAGAATTTAGTGCTGCACTTGTGCCTATAACTTTAGCCGCTTGATTAGCTTGCGGGTAGGTTTTTCTCAAGTCAGCATTTCTTCTGCCAGTTACCGGAGCCAGTTCCTCTAGCCTGACTTTAACCAGAGGATAAGGGGCTTGTTTGATTCGCCTCACACTTCTAACGTAACCGTTTGCCAGCCACATTTGAGTCAAATTGCTAAAGTTAATTACATAAGGAAAGCCTAAATGCGTTTTACTCATGTCAATGGTTTGGTCTCCTTTGGCCCAAGCTTCTTCTATTAAGCATTGAATATCCATGTCGAAAGCGTGCCAGTCGTGATCCGATCCTACACACTCCCATTTGGCCCCTTTTCCTGCGGGAGACGAGGGCGGGTAACATTTTCTACGAACAGGAACCGCTATTTCTGAGTATTCCAATTCCTGAGTCAAAGTCCTCAGGTTTACGTAGTAGTTTTGCAACGTAGGGTCAGCATCTGACAGGATGACTCTGGTCAGTTGTTTGGCGTTGGCCCTTTCCAAATGCTGACTTACTTCGGGAGTGTAGGGCTTCCAATATCCGGTTCGTATTTCGTATTCCCATACAACCACTGCATGACCAGACATTTTTCTATAGCTTTGTAAAAGGGTGGAAATAATTTATTTGTCAATCATTTTTGGGTTGAGGTAAGGAGCACTGCACTGATTTTTTTATTTAGTGGCTACGGGGAGCCGCAGATTAATTTATTTTGATTAATTTGACTTCATTTTTCAGCACAGGGTTAAATTAATTTATTTTTGTTTACTTTGGGTTTTTTTTTGAGGACGTCATGTCATGGCCGCGAGTGTCATTATAAGATAACAGCTGTCAAATCCATATTTACAAAAATGGCAACCCTGTAAATGTGATCCACAGGGATGCCAACAAAAAAAAGAAGACGCACTTTCAAAATATTTCTAGGTTATGTCTAATGTTATTTGTTGTTATGAAATAATTTAAACATTTTCCTTATTAAAAACGTTTAGTAATGAACAAAATAGGCTTTATTCGAGTGCAATTGAGACGTTATTGTTGTGTTAAAACCCCTAAACCGTTAACGGCGCCGTTAAAAACCTTAATACCTGAAAAGCCCCACCGGTCCTGTATAGATCCCCAAAAACTGCCCCCCAAAACGAAAATCGATGCTGACACTATAGCGTTGCTAGAAAGATTATCTCTCGTTGATTGTGCCAATAAACAAGGCATAGACACTTTAGAGGCTGCTATTGAATTTGCCGATCAAATTCAACAAGTCGATACCACAGGAGTGGAACCTTTGATAACTGTTTTAGAAGATATGTAAGTTAATTTTTGTATTAATATTTCAATATATAATTGCAAATTCAATTACTTTAGACCTCTAAGATTAAGGGAAGACAAAATAACTGATGAAAATTGCACAAGAGACGCACTAATTAACGCCTCTTTAACAGAAGAAGATTATTTTGTAGCCCCACCAGGAAATATTCCTTTAGAAGCCAGAGAAGATTTACTATTTGAAAAAGAACAATAATAATGTTCAATGCTGTTATTAGTCTCTGCGAAAAGCACGGTTTTTTAAAAAAAATCAAGTTAGAACAGCTAAAAGTGGGCCCCACTGGCTGTCTTTTAATGCAAAACTTAAAAAACGAATGGTTTCACAATACAGTTACAAACAAAGACATCAGCGTATTTCTTTCAGATAATAACGATTTCAGAGAAACTTTGGAGTTTGCCAAAAACATGTGCCTAGATAGGTTACCGTTTGGAATAGCCGAAATTATTAACACTAAATCAAGTGCCCAAGAATTTTTGGATTATTACACTGAGAAAGCAAAAGATAATATTGATTTCCAAAACTTGTTTGGTAACGATAGGGTAACATTGAAATGCACTATTTTTACAGCTCCTAGTGAGTCGATTCCTTTTTTTCATCAATGGCAAAGACATAGGAGAATTTGGTGGAGAAAGGTAATTTATTTGTTTATTTTCAATTTCAATGGGCAATAGTCCAACTTTCATAATGATTGAAATAAAAAACAGAAAAAAAAAGTACAAAAAACATTGACACAGTAAAATTCTGTGCAGTAAATATGTCTACCTGTACCTTGTTCTTGTTGGCATAAGACATAGCCCCATTTATGGTCCTATGTTGGCCATCTTATAAAGTACTAGGTCTCTCCAATGAAAAACAGCACACATCTCTAAAAATTCTACTTAGGATATTCAAGTTTACAGTTGAGGGCAAGTCAGCTAACGAGGGGTCAACCACTTCCCAAAATACGTGTACAATTGGCCCGGATTACCTCCGAAATACTTCGAAGTACCTAGAAATACCGTGAAGTACGTCAAAATACCAGGTATTCCCGTCGAAGTATGAGAATTCCCATAGAATTACCGTCGAAGTACCCGAAATACCCTCAAATTACCGCGCGAAGTCCTGCAATACTAAAAAAAATCTCGTTTATAACGATTCTTCTTGTGGATCACAGTGAAGAATTTTTGCTTGGGTTTTTCTATCTTTTGATATGATGAATTATATTCGGACACACAAACAACAATTAAATCAATAGTTGCAGGAATAGGAATAAAACATTAACATAAGATAAAAACAGCTATCGGAATATCAAATATTTTCAACGGAATGAGAAGTATGACTTCTCCAAAAATCATACAAAAAACAGGCTGTTCCATTCAAAAAACCGCTCATCCATGGTGTAACTCTTTGGTTTTTGGTTCAAATGAATTTTTAGTATCATTTTTGAGTTCTCTAGAAAAAAATGTTCCAATTGGCTATTTTCAATGTTCTCAAAAATACAGGGAAAGTTAAAAATAATCCCCTGTCAACCCCTGTTCAGTCCTCGTTGGATGACCGATGATCTTGTACTCTTAGCAACTAAAGGGTCATTTACATCCACTTAACGTACGGAAAATTATAATTAACGTACGAAATTGATAATTTACAGACTAGTGCAATCTGTGTGCCATTCATAATTATTATTGAAATTAACGTACGGATTTCCTCAAGTTGAAGTTGGTTCAGTTTTCCGTGTGGTACGTTAATTTTCTAAATTTTTAAGTGGATGTAAACAACTACAGATAAGTATACATGATCATCAACTTTTCTTTATTATTAATTTTCTGTATGTTAAGTTGAGTGGATGTAAATGACACTTTACTAATACTGATTACTGATACATATGAGGTAGTATATCTTTCCATTTGTTTCAATTAATCTGCAATAAATCCAAATTATGTAAGCATATTTAGCCCTCGATTTAGCCTATTCGAAGATGGACTATAATTTTCATTCTATAATATTTCAATTTTGGGTGATAAAGAATTAATTATTCTCGGTGCATAAAAAAAATACTAATAATTTTAAATAGAGCGAAATAACTCGGCTTACCGCGAAATACTTCCGAATTACCTCGAAATACTTCGAATTACCTCGAAATACTTAGAATTATCTGCAAATATTTTGAAATACTCGGCAATACCACAAAAAACTGGGTTCGAATTACCACCACCGAAATACTTTGAATTTCGCGAAATACCGACATTTTCGCAATACGTGTACACATTTTTACAGAGTGGTTGACCCCTCGTCAGCTAACTTCTGAGCTATTTATAAATCAATAACTAATCAATTTTTTTACTCGTTTTTTTATAACTATGCTTATGCTTTAATGTTGCCAATGATAAATTATGATTTTATGTCCTAATGGTCATTCAGCATCCCCCAAACTCCATACACTAAATTATCCTCAGATTTGAAGCCGAAATCTATGCAAAAAGGCACTCAGGAAAATTGAAAAATTGATAAATCACTTCAAATTGCTTAACACGATTTTATCTCCGAAACTATAAGTGCAAATGAGCTGAAATTTTCAGGGATTGTAGTCCTCTACTGGAATAAAAATCGCTGAACATTTCAGCTTTCTATCCTATAATAGAAAAAAAGTTATGACTTTTCAAAGTTTTCCAAAATCTAAATCATAAGGTTCTTCTTCTTACTAAAACGATAAAATTTCAAATTTTTTTTGTCGAGATTTTATGTCCTATTGGTCATTCAACATCCCCCAAACTCCATACATTAAATTATTCTTAGATTTGAAGCCGAAATCTATGAAAAAAGGCACTCAGAAAAATTGAAAAATTGATAAATCACCCCAAATTGCTTAACTCGATTTTATCTCAGGAACTATAAGTGCAAATGAGCTGAAATTTTCAGGGATTGTAGTCCTCTACTGGAATAAGAATCGCTGAAAATTTCAGCTTTCTATATATAATAGAAAAAAAGTTATGACCTTACCTTCTTAATAAAACGATAAAATTTCAATTTTTTTTTGTCAAAATTTTATGTCCTAATAGTCATTCAACATCCCCCAAACTCCATACACTGAATTATTCTCGCCGTAATCTATGAAAAAAAGGCAGTCAGAAAAATTGAAAAATCACCCCCAAATTGCTTAACGCGATTTTATCTACTATAGGAACTATAAGTGCACCAGTATTAATTTTATGTCAACTTTCTTGGTCTCACGAACATAATGAATTTGCTCCAAACTTGAACTGGAAGAATTTAGTAGCTTCCCTTGTCCGCTGAACAGCTTCTCTAGATGTAATGAAGAGGTAATAATCAAGATTTGAACTATTACCGGCTCTTGAACCTCTAAATACACCGCAAGGAATAGAGAAGCAATAGTTATCGGAAATATTCATTAATGGATACCTACCACTATACCTACGCATTGGAAGAAGAATTTCTAGACAGTTATGAGTCGGTTATAAATCGTATTTGGATTACTTTACCGGCTCCTGATTCGTTGGATGAATTTTCTGATCAAGGTCACATAGCTCAAAATTCAAGAAAAGGGTACAAATCTTCTTCTACAGCCAAAATCCCATATAGTAGAGCTGAGAATCATTGAGGTGAACCTGGCGGAAATAGATTTAGAGCCATGAAGTTTGCTACAAATAATGGCTAAAGCGCTGCAAATGGATAGTTGTACATGAACATGTTTTACATTTATTTGAACTATATGCGTCACATTTGATTTGAAATTTACCTTATTGTGATTTAAATTATATAATTGGGATTTTTTTTTATAGTTAGGTAAATCCGAGGGTAAATCTCTACCTTAACTTCATGTAGCTGTGTAAATTGGGCTTTTTTTTATTACTTTCTCAACTAGAGGCGAATACTTCTTTTAGGTGGTTTTTCCCTTTCAAATTTAATGCAAAAACTTTCTCTATTATTTGAAAAATATTTCCCGCATTTATATTTGCGTCTTCCAGGTACGATAACGTTTCTGCTTCCTTGGGGTCAGCTTTTGGTTGGCCAAATCTGTCATAGTGTCTGGTTCCTTGCTTTTAATGTTACTCGTGGATCTTCGGATCAGAGACGCCCCTGCTCAATTTGAAGAAATGGCTGATCCAGGTTGTAGTTGCGTCATTGGTTGTTTGCCCTCATTTGTCCTCTGGTCAGATAATGCGATTTCGTGCGTTTGAAACAAAAATGATGTGTGTTGAAAATTAAATTAATAAAAATTGAATAAAATTGCCCTTTTGCTCTTCGTCCTTGATAGGTATTCCATCCTGAAGTCATCTAAATAAGCCAACATATGGTATGTGGTAACCCTGAGCGAAATCCAAAAGGCATAGCATTGTATCGAAAAGTACTAAAAGGAGTAATAAAAGAAGTATTATCTTGGTCTTCACTGGTATCTGATGGTAACCACTTTTCAACTCAAGAGTTGTAATGTAGGCAGTCTTAGCAGTCGAATTAAGTAATCATCTACTCTAGGTAATGGGTATTGTATTGGAACAGTTGTCTATAATAAACACACAGGCGCATGTTTCCATCAGGTTTTGAGACCAAAATAACTGAAAAAGCACACATTCCTCATTGATCCCATTTTCAAGGAGTTCATCGATAACTTTTTTCAAAATATCCTTTCGTGCAGGTGCAATATGATATGATGGTTGAAAAAATAGTCTACAGCCGATGCTATTCCTTCCATATACATTAAATCTATGAAAAAAGGCACTCAGAAAAATTGAAAAATTGATAAATCACCCCAAATTGCTTAACACGATTTTATCTCAGAAACTATAAGTCCAGTCAATATAGCGCTTCTTGTATCGATCATCAAGATCTACAATTTGGGTAAATTTCATTTTGATAGCTTTTCCCAAGGCATTTTCGGTTTTCAAAATATTACCATTTGAAAATGTCCAAAATCAAAGTTCCTCGAATAACCCTCTTAACAATTATGATTATAAGTTACAATGGGAATGCCTCTAATTAAGTCTACTTAATGTTGACGGAGAATGGGAAACTTTTCACTCTCCAATTTCCATCCATGCTTCCTTTCAAATTCCTATAATTTCTCAAATTTCACTTTTAATTCCTGAAGTAAGATTTCTTCCTTTTCTTGTAAGATTTAATGAACAATAGACCAGTTAAGTAGATACAACATTTTTCATTTAAAATTTCCCCTAGGAAAATCATGGAAACTGCATATAAATATGCCATTTTGGTTGAATAATAACTTACTTTCGAGAAAAGTGTTCTTGCCTTTATCCAACTAAATCATTTTAGTTTTCACCAAATCCGGGCATTTACAGTTTATCCGACATAAAAACCGATAATAACAACATACAAAGTGTCCAAATAATGGCAAATTATCCGTGGGGATCGCAACTTATCGAGAGCCTCGCTTTATATCCCAAACCCAAAGGAATCATAGATCACAAGGTAAATTATCATAAAGCTACATACTTTATTACAAGAAAAATTATTTCAGTTCAAATTTGGCAAAAAATCCCTAAGTCCTCACACTGTAGTCAGCAACATTGACATGTCTTCAATGTTTATAAACACCCTCTGCGACGCTTACGCTGAGCCTGAATATAAAGACACCAAACGGACCTTGTTGAGGTTCCACAGAAAATTGGCTCCTTATAGTATAAGTTTCTCGATAGCTTCCGGACTACCGGCAGGTGTTTCAACTGAATTAAACGATTTAGCTTTATATTTAACTAGGCAACTAAGAACTAAACATGTTTCAACTTTATTTTTACCAAGCAGCTCAAAATTAAGCTTGGACGCTCAATGGAGGCAATATGATGAACTAGGAATACCTTATGGGGTTTTATTGAATGAGAAAACTTTAAAAGATGGGCTAGTGTTGCTTCGCAGCAGAGATACAACATTAAAGGTAAGAAATTTTATATTGTGCATCTTAATTGAGAGTGAGATTTTTTGAATTTCTAGGAACAAGTACATGTGACTGATTTGGTATCTTATGTGGAACAATTGTTTAAAAATTATTAATAAAAGTTGATTCTATCCTATGACTGTTTTTATCAATTCCTCTGTCACTTTCCACAATTGCTTTGGCAAATTTGGATCTTGGGCTATTTTGTATCTGCTCACGTAATGACAGTCTTCGAAATGTTCTCCAGAGTAGTTTTCGATGCCTTTTTGGAGGCTGCAGTAGATGGTTGTCTGTGCACCTTCCAGGGAATTCTAAAAATGTTTTGTTATGTTCTCAGATTTATTCTATTCAATAATAGACAAACATTCAGACAGAAACATTTAAGGCAAATTGAGAAAAAATTGCTAGACAACTGCCATCTTTCAGGGATAGATACATTTGAATTCATATTTCATATGTCATTGCAAAGGTTTAAAAATGTTGTATCATGATAATAAAGTAATAATTAGTCACCTTCATAAACCACCCCAAAACAGTTGTGATAATTCTTGCAACTGCAGGTATTGTTCTGAATGCTTCAGTTGCCACTGCACCAGGATGAACAGAATATGTGGTTACACTAGTGCCTTTTAGTCTATCGGCTAATTCTATGGTAAATAATAAGTTGCAGAGTTTACTTCTACAATAAACTTCGAAATGGTGACCACTGGCTTCGTATTTGTTTAGTTGGTTAACATCAAAGTCTTCGGTGAATTTTGCTGCAATCGAACCAACGTTTACAATGCGTGAATTTTTAGTTTTTTTCATTAAATCTAAAACAGAGTATATAATTTAATTTTAAAGGCCTATAGCTCAATGGTTATTACCTAACAATAAGTTAGTAAGTAAAAAGTGTCCAAAATAATTAGTTTGCATTATCAGCAAAAACCCATTGTCAGCTTTCAAATATCCTCTAAAACCCATTCCGGCATTGTTAACTAAAATGTCCAATCTTGCTTCGGTTTTGTTAATATCCTTGGCAAACTCAATCACAGATTCAAATGTTGACAGATCCAGATGTTTGAAGATAACGTTCTGGTTGTTTGTGGCTTTGACAATTTTTTCCACTGCTTTTTGGCCTCTTGTTGGGTCTCTGCAGGCCAATATTACTCTGGCGCCTCGTTTAGCCAAGTCTTTAGCTGTTTCATAACCAATTCCTTGAAAATTCTAGTGTTAAAGTTAATAAACATAAAAAAAATCTAAACTTTTGATTAATATCTCAATAGTAGGTAGTTTTTTGAATGTGCTAAAGGAAAAACTGTATAAGTACATGATTGAAACTACCCTTTTTTTATCATCTTCTTATCTTTCTGACCAATTTAGATCTAAATATATAAAAATAACAGGAATTCAAAAAACTCTCACCTGTATTTGCTCCGGTAATAATCGCAGTTTTCCCAACCAAACGCACATTACTCCTGCACCATCCTGTGGTCCATTTCAGCCATAACTTGAACATTGCAAGGATTGCAGCAACCGGAATTAAAATCCGGAACAGCAACCGCATTTTTATTTTATTTAATTTTATTGTGTCGAAAGAGAGATATCCATGTAAAATGTTGTGCTATTAGGCATCTGCTTTATATTTTAGTCTTTATGGATTGGCATTCACCTGGAGGGTTTTTATTAGTTAAGGTGCGGTTTTTTGGCAACTGGTTCGTGGATCGCCTGGTGGACAGAAAACCAGCATTTCATGTAGCGGGTGTGTCAAAGTCAATAGAGTTTTTCCCTAGCATCGAGTTGTGTCTTCTAATTTATTCGTCCCTACCTAGATCTTCCAAGATGGTAATAATCATAATGATACGACATGGTGGCAATCGGTGCTTTATCATATTAAGAGTGTAAAGAGTGATCGAACTTTTCGTCCTCCGTCATTTTTTTTTTTTGACAGTCGAAATCGCACGGAAAACGGGGGCAAAGCCCGAGCCGGCGGTTGTAGCGACGTGCAAAAACACCTAAGGATCATACAGGACACAGGTAGAGTGAGGTATACAGGGGAAACTGTATTGGTAACTTGAAAACATGTCACAAAATACGATACAGGCAGAAACGTTTGCGAACGTAACTGCGCCGGCTGAGCCTCAAACTTGGCCTCATTGAACAAAACGCCTGGAAAGACATGTCTGTGAGCGGATATGGGACGAAGACAAATAAGGAAAAAATTGATGTTTTAGTCTACGTAATGGGTAGTGAAGGCGAAGAAATTTTGCTACAAAAATCATCAACAGGTAACGAAACCTTTGATGATGTACTCAAGATCTTCGAAGACCATTTTATACCTGAAAGGAAAATCATCTTAGAACGCTACCAGTTTAATTCCAGAGTCCAACGTCCAGGTGAACCTGTTGAAAATTTTATTACAAACCTGCTTGGACTTGCCATTGTAACTATTGGGATTTTAAAGAGGAGTTCATTAGAGATAGAATTGTTATTGGGATAGCGGATGTCAAAGCAAAAAGCAATTCAGATGGTACGCCAGGCTGAACTCCATGAAAATCAGAATAAAATTATGAGACAAGACCAGGCGATAAGTGCAATTGTTCAAAGCTCTTACAGGTCAAAGTGGAATAATATGTCCAGCAAAGACTTCAGTGTGCAGATTTTGCGACAGAAGGGGACATTGGAGTATTATGTGTAGGAAAAAGTCTGTAAGGGTTGTAGAACACCCTGAGTCAGAGAGCGGCAGCGGAAGCTCAGATGTAAACATAATCAGCAGGTTCTACAGGTGACAAAACATGATGACAGTTCCTTTCTAGGGCAGCTTTACACTGATCATAAGTAGATGGTATGTATAGATATTCTTTTAGACTATAAGTTAAAAGTTCCTGTTTTTGTTGACATTTGGGCAGATGTAAATTGTTTTTATTTTATCGCGAATGGTAAACTATCATTTAATCGACTCAAAACTCGTTAAAGTAACACTTTATTTGAAGTAGTGAAATCAAACAATTTTTACCCACTCATTTGTCAATTTTACCCACTCATACGTCAATTTTACCCACTCATACGTCAATTTTACCCACTTGTTCAAATCTTTTATAATACCCTGCGTTTTTATTCTCATCAAATTTTACCGATGGATCCACCATTCTATGACCGTCATTGTCATTTTCCATTCACTAAACAAAGATAGCTAACTCATTGGTGAAGTCACCGATGAGAATAAAAACGAGGGGATAATTATAGTGTTTTTGACAGAAATCTGACATGTTGCATGATTGACAACACCAGAAATGTGTCAGTTTATTAGGTACTTCGCCAATTTGTCATAATCTATGTAAAATTTAGCACATTTTAGTTTATGATTTTAGTAATTGTGATAAATAAAAAGTGGCTCAAGAATAAAATAGAATATTACACACGACGGTAAAAAAGCTTTACCTGTTCGTGGAATTAATCCACTCGCTCCTTCGTCGCTCGTGAATCAACATTTTCCACTCACAGGTAAAGTATCTTTTTACCGTCTTGTATAATAAATAACTATTCTTATGAAAAATTGCTTTGTGAATATATTAGTAAAATTGAAAGGTGTCATGCAGTTGGGGCTGCGGATGACCATAAACTCGACACCGTTGGTAAACTGAAAGTTGATTTTACCAATGAGGGTGTTATTAGAAGTGAGACTGTTTATGCAATTAAAAAGTTAAGACAACCCATACTGAGTAGAAAGTCAACAATAAAGTTTAATGTTCTAAATTTTTCTAAGAGAAATATAAAAAGTGTAAACGAAATAAATTTTGATATTGTTTGTCAGCCTTCAAGTCAAAATTAATTTCTACAAAGTTTCTTGAAATATTTTGTGAGATAGGATAAATTAAGAATGAAACTTCAATTAAAATTAAGCCCGACGCTAAGCCTTTTGTACAGAGTGTTCCTCGAACTATCCCGTTACCACTTTTGCCTAAATTAAAGGTGGAAATTGATAGATTGCTAAAATTAGGAATGATTGAGCCAATCGAGGAGCCTACTACATGGGTGAGCCCTATTGTATGTGTTAACAAGGGCGATTCTGTACGTCTTTGTTGTGACTACACCAAATTTAACGAAGGCGTTTTGCGGTCACATTATCCTCTTCCAAAAATAGAACACACGTTAGCTCAATTAAATGGGTCAGGCCGTTTTTTATTTAAAAGGCTCCCTTTTGGAATCTCGTGTGCGCCTGAGTATTTCACAATGAATTTAGGTATTGAAGGATGTGTAACACATATGGATGATATCCTGATTCATACGAGCACTCTGGAAAGACATGATGAAATTTTATATAAAGTTTTGACTAAGCTTCATAAGGAAGGTATATCACCCTAAACAAAGGAAAATGTCACATAATTACAAGAACTGTAAAATACTTGGGCCATATGATATGGGAAAATGGAATTTTGATTGACCCAAACAGGCACAAAATTTACGTTTGAAAGGCTCTCGTATTATAAACCCGAAAAGTTTACAACTCAAGTGCCTAGAATTTATTCACACGGGGCATCTAGGCATAGTAAAATGTAGGGAACGCGCAAAGTCTAGTGTGTGGTGGATCGGTCTATCAACACAGATCACCAATGTTGTCACACATTGCCCAGAATATGTTGAACACCGTGAAAACCTTAGGGAGGGAGACCTTTTACAAGGATAAAACTGATACAAGGCCTTGGCAAAAACTTGGCATTGATTGTGTGATGATAAATCGTATGATAGCCACTGACTGTTTTTCTCAGTATTTCGAAATTTTCACTGCACCTTAATTTGAAGAGATTTTTACAAGGTATGGAATCCCTGACAGTCAGAACTGATTGTGGCACACAGTTTTCTTCAAAATTTTTAGGCTTTGCTAAAAGTTATAATTTTATTCTTACAACTAATAGTCCTCATTGGCCTCAGAGTATTGGGGGCGTGGAGAGAGCCGTACAAACTGGTAAGCGCCTTATCAAAAAGAATTGTCATGAGGACTTATTTTTGGCTTTATTGGCATATCGCTGTACATCTCTTGAGTTTGGTTTTTCGCCCTCAGAACTTTTAATGAATCAGAAACTTGCCTCAATTGCCAAGCTTGCTAGAGAAGTCATTATTAGACACGAAATCACGATTTTTGGAAAAAGAGGGAAATAAGAGAGAAACAAGAAAGAAATTACAAGAGACATGAGGCCAAGGATTTGGATCCTTTTATTATTAGGGATTTTGTATGGGCGGTTGATGTCAGAAAATATATGGAAAAGTCGTGGAAATTGGTCCAAAACCAAGGTCATGTTACTGAAACTGATGTTGGTAAATATAGACGAAATAGGTGGCATTTGATTCACGCTCCATATTATTTTCCTAAATCAAGCATCCCTTCAGAGAACCATAATTATATCAATAATGATGTTATATTCCCCCTAGTGTACCCCCGGATATTCCCAGTTTGTTGCATTGTTTGATGGTAATTTATCGTGTAGAAATAGTGAAACGCGAGATGATGAAAACGCGAGTGTCACAGGAAATGCGTCCTTATCAGTGCCAATCAAAACGGTGGATAACACTGATGACAGCGTGCCAAACCTAGATGATACTTGTCCAAAAAGAATGACACAAGGCAGTCCAAAAAGATTTGTTAAACGCAAGGTTAAACGACTTGCTTATGACCTTTAAAAGTTTTCCAAAATCTAAATCATAAGGTAGGTACCTATTTTCTTACTAAAATGATGAAATTTCATTTTGTCGAGATTTTGTGTCCTAATAGTCCTTTGACATCCCTCAAACTCCATACACTAAAGCTGGGTTCTAACAGAAATTTAATTTAATTTTATATTAACATAATTATAATTTCACTTTGTGGCGTTCATACAGTAATTTTTTAACTGATATAGAAAAATGTCATTATCCGTCATCTGCCTTGTCAAACTGATGAAAATCAATGATCAACCCCAAATTTAATTTAATTTAATTTTGAAAGATAAAAGTTGGCCAACTTTTAAATTAAGTTATATTATGTCTTAAATTAAAATTTTGTATGAACGCCGTCATATGGTATTGTATAGTAAACTTTTTAAATTAAATTATATTAAATGCTAAATTAAATTAAATGTCTGTTAGAACCCACCTTAAATATTCTCAGATTTGAAGCCGAAATCTATCAAAAAAGGCACTCAGAAAAATTGATAAACCGCCCCAAATTGCCTAATACGACGTTATCTCAGGAACTATAAGTCCAAATGAGTTGAAATTTTCAAGGATTGAAGTCCCTTGATTGGGATAAAATTCAGTGAAAGTTTCAGCTTTCTATTATCTATAATAGAAAAAAAGTTATGACCTTTCAAAGTTTTCCAAAATCTAAATCATATGAAATAACCATTTATCTAGAAAAAAATCTTATTCTCTTTAACGCAATGACGTAAGTAAGTATAATATTGAAAATGGTTCTGATGGATTCTTACGAATTTTGTTTGTAGGTACTTATACTGTACTGTAGTACCCAGACGGCGCAAAATATATTGCAGGAATATATTATTCATGGCATATTTCATGGGAATATAAGATATCCCATGCATATGCCTTGCAGATCTATTCCCGTGACAGGGATATATGGTCACCATAAAACATATCCCTGACCCCCTCAAAATTGACACCCCGACTTTATATCCACAGATATGCAAAAGCGTGACGACCTGCTGAATATAACCATATATTACTTTCCTGACGCTTGTATAGAACTCTGTAAAAAAATCTTCCTTTCGCATATTCAAGAAACATGCTAACATGATATTCACGGCATATCCTATAACTGCATGCCTGGAATATGTCAAATTAATAAAGAATGTTACAAATATGCTGGAGATATTTCTTGAACATTGCGATATGCCTGGGAAAATTGGCCAGGTTGTTATTGCAGCATAAGCTATGGGTGAAATTGAGGGTGACTTTAACTATATAGGATGATGTGGGAATAATGTTTGTATGGTTGAGAAAACTGCAATTATTATTACAGGAGTTAGGAGCTGGTAAGGATAGACTACAGCAGACTGCCTATGTTTGGTGGAGCCAAAAAGGACCTTCTGCTAATGTTAAAACTTCAAAGACTCTGGTAAGAATCTTTTGTAAAAGATGGAAAATCAAAGACGGACCTCAAAAACAAACTTTAAATTTCCCGGATTTATAGATTAAGATCTCTTTCATTAGGCAAAATACACTTATTCAAGTTGATCCAGACTCCAAAATTTGGATAAAAGTTGAAATTGTTTTCTTTAACTGTGTATCTTTGAAGATAATTCATAAGTTTTCCCTAAAATCGCCTTTGGGAGCCTATAAAAAATACACATAGATGTCACAGTGACTTGAAATTTCCAGGATTTACGGATTAAAATCTCTTTCATCGGAAAAAATACACTTTGACTAGATTTCCAGGATTAAAATCTCGTTCATTAGGCTTATTGAAACGCTTCCACATGGCTCTAAAAACTGAAAAAATACTATTTTACTGACTTAGATTTTGTGAACCATTTAACCTGTAAAGGTGAAAATTGCAAGTAAAATTTAGTTTTTTAGACAAATTATTTTTGGAATCAGAAAACTGCAATGTGCTTTTTCAAGAATATAGAACCACATATAGGGCATTCCATTTGAAAACAGTTAAAAGTACCTACGCAAAATTTTGAAATTTTTGTTTCATGGAGTGTAAAAATTTTGATAAAACCACAAAACTATCGTCTACCTGCGTAAAGGTGCAGACTAATCTGAGGTGCAGGCTACCCTACCGGTGGGGTATCATCTCTTTGTATTTATCTAGGTACTTTTAGCACAGTTAGTTTAAGTTTAGTATAACTTTCAGTTCCTCATGTTATCATTCTTTATAATGTTGTAGATAAGCAATAAGTGTTTTGGTATTGAGATGAATGAACAATATTTTTGTGCTCTTTAAAATAATCTCTACATTCCAATTAGCTACTATTAGATAAGACTTCAGTGATAATAATATACGATAAGCACTATTATTATAAACGAAAAAAAAATTCGTTACCTGAACACAATATAAAAATCTAATAGAAATGCATCTGTTGTTCTGGATTTTGATTGCGGTTGCTGTAATTCTCATAGCAATTATTGTAGGAATTAAGTTATGGGTGAAATTAACTACAGGGTGGTGCAGGAACGATGTGCGTTTGGTTGGAAAGACTGCTATTATAACTGGAGCCAATACTGGTAAGGATTTTGATCGTATCTTATGAGTTGAGTTTTAATTAATGAAGCATGAATAGACAGCTATTGAAATATAGTTTTTGATGTGAAACTTCCTTGAAGACTGAAGAGTAATTATCCTGTATCATGACTAATTTTTATCTAACTATATACATTTATCGGGGTCACAAGATATTCATCGTTTTAGTATTATAGTCGTTTTTCCTTTGGCTTGAGATATTTTGATGATTAATGGCTGATGAGAATCATTAGAAGCTCTTTAGGAAAATCTTGGAAAACACACAATCCATTACTGGTTCTGACGGATGTGGTGTAAGATCCATTCTGAGACGTATTACTAAACAATCTGTATAAGTAAATAAAAGTAGGTATTATTTGTCTTAGGAATTGGGTATGAGACTGCAGCTGATTTTGCCAAGAGGGGCGCAAGAGTAATCCTAGCGTGCAGAAATGTTGCCAGAGGAAAAGAGGCTGAAGAAAAAATAACCAGAGCAACAAACAACAGAAATGTTATTTTCAAACAAATGGATTTGGCTTCGTTTCAATCTATAAAAGCTTTTGCAGAGGATATAAAGAAAAATGAAGAAAGGCAAATAAATATATATTCTAACAAACAAAAACCTAATTGTATTATAATTTAGATTGGATATTTTGGTTAACAATGCTGGAGGTGGTTATCAAGGCAACATAATATCAGAAGACGGTTTGCTATTGCCAATGCAAATCAATTATTTTGGACATTTTTTACTTACCAACTTATTACTAGGTAAAAACACCCCTACTGCAAACTATTCAATAAAACTTCTAGTTTCTAGACTTGATAAAATCCACTCCCAACTCTCGCATAGTCAACGTTGCTTCGATTGGTGCAAAATGGACCAGAGAATTTGATGTGACCAAGCTGAATGAGTTTCCAGAACACAATTCTCAAGCGGATTTGTTGGTTTATAGCTGGAGCAAACTGTGCAACATACTATTCACTATAGAATTAGCTGACAGGTTGAAAGGCACTAGCGTAACAGCTTATTCTTTGCATCCAGGCGCTGTGCTGACCGATATATTCAAAAATATGCCACGTTTTACTAGGATTTTGTGGAACACTACTATAAAATGGTTTTTCAAGGCAAGAATTTAATTTTTAATAATTCAATAATAATTATACTTTTTCCGCAGAGTTCTATTGAAGGTGCTCAAACGACGATTTATTGTAGCACTGAAAAGGCTATAGAGAATTTTTCTGGTGAACATTTTGAAGATTGTCGTAGGGTGGCCAGGTATCCTACAGCACAAGACCCAGAGTTGGCAAAGAAGCTGTGGGTAGTTTCCGAGGAGCTTGTTAAGCTCAATACATAATATTCTTAAAGTGCTACTAATTGTACAACTTTTACCTTCATGCAGTTCCAATAATTGTATTGTATGTATTTATTTTTAATAAAGTTTTTTTAACAAAAATGTATATTCATGGGTTTTGTTTTTAGTCAATTTCCAGAGGACATTCTTTCCGTGGTAATTTAAATATCCAGGACTATTCAATCATATGAAAGATATACCAGGGTGTTTTGTCTTTTAAGTTGTGATTTTCATTTCAAGATGACATAAAACTTAAATAGGTAAACGAATTTTTCAAATAATATTTTCTCGAAAACTTAAAAATAAAGCGAAGATATGTTCATTTTAAGTAATATCAAGTAGGTAAGTCCATAGTTTGGTATTTATTGTAATATATATATTTATTTTACAGTTTATACATTTATGATTTCAACTTAGTTCGTAATCTGATCACACGCAAGTTGTCTTCACTATCAATGCGCAAGTATTGTCTCTTAACAACCCTCGTGTCTCTAACGGTTACCCATATGTTGGTCTCCGAATTTGGGACACCCTACACCCTGGTACATGGTACCATAGAGACAACTTTATGGCTATAGAGTGAAGTATACATAAGTACAACTTATGTAGCATGTAGAAGCTCTCAAAAAGATACGTCGCCATATGAGCTGTGGCATAAGAAAAATGTTAATTTTCACGTAGGTACTTAAAGATGTTCTGAGATTCATAAATTACCTATAACTGAAGACTCTAATCTAAAAACAGCAATCAAAAAACTGTTCTTGAACTGTCAAAGGCCTGATTAATTGAAAATTGGCTTTTCTGTAACTTCTTTGGACTATTTTATTAAACTCATTCAATAATTAATTATTTAGGCTTAAAAATAAAATCGAAAATACTAAGGAAATTTATGCTATCAGTATTTGTTCTTGTCAAATATTTTTGTTTATTGTCTTGTCTAGCGTCTTTGTATCCCTCTCCCAATACCATTGCCTTCTGCGCTTCTTTCTCCAAGCAAATTTCTAGCATTTGCTTATTTAAAACTGGCACTACTAAATTAAATTTTGCTATTTTTTTATTAATATCTTCAACCGTTTTTTTGTACTTGTAAACTTTTTCGCTCCACTCGATATTTTCCTCAACCGATATCGGATAAGGGCCAAAATATTTTCGTTCCGTAAAGAGGCTTTTTCTTAAATCGGCAGTTTCTAATCGGATTTCTTTTTGGAGCAAAATCCACTCGGGAGTAAAGCCGTTGTCGATCAGAACTTCGTTTAGTTTATGGGTTATAAAATCTACATAGGGATTGCGATTTTGATGATCCGGTAACGGTTTACCGGTGTTTTTCAAATTGTTAAACTCCCCTTTTGATATTGATTCTTGTATTAGATCCTCCACTAATCGATCAAAGCCGTACCTTGAAAAATTAATTATTATTCAATTTGAAATTACATATTACATTTTTACTTAGTTTTTATTTTATGTTTTAAGGGAACCTTCTCCATTAAAGCCTTGTCATCAGCCGTCACTTTGGCCACTCGATGATTATAAACATTTTCAATGGCTTTCATTGCTCTCACTTTGACGTATTGTTTTTCTCTCTGGAACGGATTCCCAGATCCGATACCATTGAAACTCAAATATTGCCTGTGTTGAGGGGCAGTGTGTTGTATATCTTGTTCTTCTATGGTTTCTTCGGAGGACGATTTTTCTTTGGATTTTTTGTGCATTATTGTTTTGAAAGCTTTGTCAATCTAGAAAATATTTGTTAGTTTAAAATTTGACTTGTTCTTTTTTTGAGAAGATTTTGAAATGTTTTATGTAGATAATGGAAGATTATTTTACGTGTCTTGCGTAGGTAGATTTTTCAAAATATCTAAAATTTCTGTTTGGGAGGAATAGTTACACAACTATACAGCTGCATATGCTAAAAACTTTCAATGGCTATGTGGTAGGATTAATTTATGCAGCTGGGAGCAGTGCTTGCAAAATTTGGATATAGGTAAATATAGCTTTAGATACCTTTTATTATGAGACTTTAGGTGTGGGTATAGCTTATTTTATAATTATCATTATTATTATTATTAATAGTCTGACAGTAGGTGAAAAGTCCACTTTGTAATCGTAACAATTAATAATATGTACAAATTAGCGATTCACATGTGTAAGATCTCTATCCTGTCAGTTTTTGAAAGTGTTCAATATTCCTATGACGATACGCAGCAATATAGACTCTATGGTTGATGGTATTGGTATACTGCACTTCCTTTAGTACCAGTTAGAAAGTACAAGTCTGGCTTTTTTCCTACATGGTTCTCATCATAGTTGAAATATCTTATAATTCAAAGAAGAGAAAAAATGTAGAATCAAAGTCTGATTTGGACTATTGTGAGTTTTCCAGGCTGAGGTCTGAGTGTAAAAGGTGTCGAAGCATCTGCTGGTCTTTATGTCCAAGGTGGATATTGAATTTAAAACTAATCTATAATATTTTTGGAGAGATATTTTGACATTGGACAAGATATTGTTGCATTATTTAAGGAATACTTTGAGATGCTTAGCCAGACCTGAAAATTCCGTTGAATGTTTCGGATAATTATTTCAGGCTTGCACACATTTCTAGAGAGGACATTTATGATAAAATAACTGGTTTACCGAACAAGGATACATTGGGTCCTGATGGGATTCCAAATAGTAAGTAGAAATGCACTTGCTCTCTAGTGATCCCTTTGCACTTACTATTTAACAAATCATATTGGGATCTGTTGTATTTATGCACATATTAAGGCGGTTACCAGTTTCACACGGACGTAGATGGCTTGATACATATACGTGCATATATCAACACTCACACTCACTTAAAACTAGCGAAACTGTCAATCTTGCTACACAGTGTTTCGAGTTTGCATACAAAATTTCTAGAAATTTCAGAATTCACCTAAGCGTCATTCTACCGCTTGCACATTCAAAAACGCGACAGTATTTTGCATACACATTGATATTTTATTTGCGCGTTCATGTATTTGTGTGCGTACATATGTTTTCAGACATTCACGCTCGTGTGTGCCTTAAGGCAGTTACACACGGACGTGGAAAAAAACTTCAACCAAGTACTTGTTCATTTCGACCCGGAGAAGTCACTTATGTTGGATTGCGATTCTAGTTCGTATGGAGTTGGTGCAGTGTTGTGCCATGTTGTAGATGGGTTTGATCTCGGGTTTGATAGACCAATATGGTTCATATCTAGTACTCTGTCAGCAGCAGAGAAAAACTACTCTCAACTAGAACTAAACGGTTTCACAAGTTTTTGTATGGTCGAGAAATAATTTTGGAATCAGATCATCAGCCTCTACAAATCATTTTCAATCCATCAAAGTCATTTCCAACAATTGCAACATCTAGAATAACGCGGTATTTTCATCAGCATACAATTATTATAGAATAGTGTAATATAAGAAGGGTTCACAGATTGGTCATTTTGATGGGCTCTCAAAATTGCCCTTGAAGTCTAATTTATAATAATTCATTCAATTCATTAGAAAGTGTACCAATTTCTTCTTATGATATTGCCTCTATAAGAGGGTGGCCGCAGTCTATTTCTGATTCCGAGTTGAGTCCTAGTTTTTTAGAAAGCACTGAGATATCAGTGGATAAGGGTTGTACTTTGTGGGGAAGTCGTATCATTGTTCCAAATTCTTTAAGACTCAATGTATTGAGTGTCCTCCATGAAAGTCATATTGGGATGGTCAGGTCCAAAATGCCTGCTCGGTCTGTATTCTGGTGACCAAATCTTTCTGAAAAAATTGAGAATTTCATTGGTAGTTGCGAAACGTGCCAGATGACTCGAAATAATCTACCTTATAGGAACTTGTTGTCTTGGCCTTGGCCGAGGCCACCCAAAGTCTAGTTTAAAGTACACATTGATTTTTTTGAAAAGGATTCATATAAATTTTTGATAGTTATTCAAGGTGGGTAGATATACATTTAATGTCTTCAACTACAGCTATGGCTACCATTGATAGATCCCCCGAACTCCATACACCAAGTTATTCCCAGATTTGAAGCCGAAATCTATGAAAAAAGGCACTCAGAAAAACTGAAAAATTGATAAATCACTCCAAATTGCTCAACACGATTTTATCACAGGAACTATAAGTCCAAATGAGTTGAAATTTTCAGGGATTAAAGTCCTCTACTAGAATAAGAATCGCTGAAAATTTCAGCTTTCTATTTTTAATAGAAAAAAGTTATGACCTTTCAAAGATTTCCAAAATCTAAATTAAAGCATAAGGTATCTACCGAGGTAGCTAAAGTACGTTTCACCAGGGTTCATACTTTTGACATCGAACACGCCATAAGTGGGAAAAAAAGGGTTGTCGAAGATTGATTCATATGACACATTCAATTTTTTTGACAAATTAACATGAATGACTTCTGATTTAAGAACCAACGAACGTTTTTGACGTCATTGATTTGTTTCAGTCAATTTCATTTGTTAAAAAAGGAAGGTGAAAAGTATGAACCCTCGTGAAACAATGTTTACCTTCTTACTAAAACGATGAAATTTCAATTTTTTTTTTTTTTGTTGAGATTTTGTATCCTAATGGTCAATTAACATGCCCCAAACTCCATACACTAAATTATTCTCAGATTTGAAGCAGAAATCCATGAAAAAAGGCACTGAGAAAAATTGAAAAATTGATAAATCACCCCAAATTGCTTAACACGATTTTATCAGGAACTATAAGTGCAAATGAGCTGAAATCAGGGATTGTAGTCCCTTTATTGAGATACGATTCAGTGAAAATTTCAGCTTTCTATCTATAATAGAAAAAAAGTTATGCCCTTCCAAAGTTTTCCAAAATCTAAATCATAAGGTAGCTACTTTCTTACTAAAACGATGAAATTTCAAATTTTTTTTTGTTGAGATTTTGTGTCCTAATGGTCATTTGATATCCCCTGAACTCCATACATCTAGTTATTCCCAGATTTGAAACCGAAATCTATGAAAAAAGGCACTCAGAAAAATTGAAAAACTGATAAATCACCCCAAATTGCTTAACACGATTTTATCTCAGGAACTAGGAGTCCAAATGAGTTGAAATTTTCAGGGATTGTAGTCCCTTTATTGAGATACGATTCAGTGAAAATTTCAGCTTTCTATCTATAATAGGAAAAAAGTTATGCCACTGGGTCATATAAGAATAGCCGAATACTGAAGAACTTTGCCAGGCAAACCTTAGGATTGACAAATGTGTTAATTTTTGAGTTATTTAGAATCAAGTTTGGAATTGTCCACTATTGATGTTTTTAATAAAATTGACAAAAACTCGAAAGTACATACAGGAGTTTCAACAGACTTTTGGAAAAAATCCTATGTTTCACCCATTTTTAAGGATGGTGACAGAGCTGATGTCAAAAACTACAGAGCTATTAGTAAAATCTCTTCAATTGCTAAACTATTCAAATCACTGGTTGATGATAATTTGTATCCTCACTTTCATAGGCTCATAATGAATGAACAGCACAATTTTATGAAGGGGAGATCCACTACAACTAATTTTTTGTGACTTATAAGCAAGCTCTGTTGGGTGCCTTTGAGAATAAATATCAGGTGGATACTTCCTATACTGACTTCTCAAAGGCATTCAACAGAGTATATCACAGAGTTTTGCTATCCGAGCTAAATGCTGTGGGAATTTCTGGATCTCTTCTTGTCGTTTGAAAGCAAGCTAAAACTTGAAAGACTGAAGAGCTGTTGAAATGAAAAACTTTATTTCATCTGAAATTGTAGTGACATCAGGGGAATTGCAAGAGGGACATCGGTCAAGTATACTTTTAAATGTGTTTGTTGATGATTTAAGATTTTTAGGGACTGTGATTTCAAAGACTTCAAGATTCATAAGACTGTAATCAATGCACTACACCTTTTCCATAAGTATTTCAGAATGTATCACTTGTATTTCAGATTCATCAATTCTAGTTCAGAATGCGTCAATTGTATTTCAGTTGTATAAGTTTAATTTCAGAAACTGTCATTTGTATTTCAACTTTGTCAGTTGTAGTCGAGGTTGTATGGGTTATAGTTCACAAAACATCATTTTTATTTCAGTTTGGTCAGTTGTATTTCAGAAAAAGTCATTTATATTTCAGTTTGGTCACTTGTATTTTAGAAAACGTCATTTGCATTTCAGATTATTTATTTGTAGATCAGAAATTGAAAATTGTATTTCAGAATTCGTCGAATGTATTTCAGATATTATCAATTTATGTAGTGTAATAAGTAAAATTTATAATAGGTGGGTCACCCATACACCTAGCTTATGTTGATTTTTTTTTTTTTAATTTATTTATTTAGCATAGTAAATCACAATAGTAAATAACAATATTGTTCTTAAGATTATCAGTTGTACTTTTTTCCCATCTTCAGAAAACATCTAAAGATTTTATTATATTTAAATCTATATTCTACCACTACACTAAAATGTTTTACCAACACGATGGATTTTTCAAAATCTGTGTGTGCTGGTAATTCTCTTAAATAAATTTCACATTATGTTTAAGGTTATATCACTAGGTACACATTAGAGTTTCTTATATTAATCTTTTTGTTCTAATCTACAATGACACTTAGATTAGAAATTCAAGGAAAAATTACTCTCTATAATCCATTGATTGACCAGATGCTTTACTTTTTTAAATGGTCCACTTCTAACAAGAACAGGAAGGGCACTGTACGCTGTGGGACCCGTGTAGC